TCTACATGGGCTTGGATAAAGGGATGGCCATGAAAGTCTATAATGGAGGCTGGACCAGCAGAGAGTTTGAAGGAGGGCCCATGGTCTCCCAAACTTTGACTAATGTTTCATTGTACCCATGAAATTTTGGATTTTATCTTACAACACTACATAATTGTTCCCAACAACAAATTAGAGCAAAATTAATTTTGAGGAAGACCATGGGGATTGTCTAGATAGTGTTATTAAAATCTAATTTGGTTCACTATAAAAATTGTTCCATTGACTTAGTTTTTACAGTCTAATTTAGTTAGGGAGCACATTAAAATTTATTGAATTAATTATTTTGTCTTTGTATATGGATTGTAATAGGAATAATTTAATAATTATGACTTACCAAAAAAAAAAATTAATAATTTAGAAATTGCAACTGTAAATCAATGAAGTTGTTGCTAAATTTGGATGAAAAACTCGGTTGGTTCGTATAAACTCTTGAATTAGACATGTCTCATTGCCCATCAATTTGATGAAAGTATAAAACCGTTGGCATGTTATTCTACAAAAACTTCTCCATGGAAAGATTATGATCTTTCACTTATAAGCAATAAACAAAAAACATTCTGCCTCAAGTCACTTAAAATCTCTATTTATAGTATTGGAATAGATACTTATCGTTATGAAAAAGCTTGATATCAGTTCTCATCAAATTAGAGGAATGACAATCTCAAATGGAGTTAATCAAATTAGAAAAGTCAATTTTTTTTTTTTTGAGTAAACTACATAACTAGCCTCTAAATTATGTCACAAAGGGTAGTTAAGTCATTACACTATTTTTTGTGTCAATTTAGCCTAATTTGACTCGATATTCCCCTTTCGTTTTAATTTGTTGTTAACTTTAACGAAGCATCTCATGTGCACGTCACGTGAGTCACAAGAATTAAGCATAGTTATGACATAAATATTAGTTCATTTAACACAAAAAACATAATTTTATGAATTAGTTGTGTAGTTTACTCAAAAAAGTTATAAAATTATATTAATAAGAAAGTGTTATGCTTACAAAAAAAACTTTACCAAATTAATGTGAATGGTTTGATTAATGAGACCTAATAACTTACTTAATGAGACATACTAATCCAACAATTTATGTTTATTTATAAATTATTTTGATAATTTTTTTTATACATAAATCATTTTTCTTAATAAAATATTTCACATTGGTTATGTTAAGAGTCCAACCCAAATAATTTTGGGTTAATTACACTGGAGGTTCCCAAAGTATAGAGTTTGTCTTATTTTAGTCCTTAATATTTAAATTGCATTATTTTAGTCTATGAAATATTGAATATATTTCTATGTGGTATCTAAGTAGACAACATCCAAATTACTAACGATTTTTGAGCATAAACTTATCACGTGATATCTAAATATGGAAAAAAAAATAATTTAGATAATTATTCACCAAAATTTGAATAGCTCTCGAGCAAAAATATGTAATATGACTAACAATTGACTAAAATTTGGCAAGTTTGGGATCAAAACTATGTAATTTGGATAACTCTTTAAAATTTGGGTAGAAATTAGTCGAGAATTATTTAAATTATTTTTTTGTTCATATTTAAGTATTACATGACAAGTTTATAATAAAAATTTATTAACAATTTGAATGTTGTCTGCTTCAAAGATCACATAAAAATATATTAAATACTTCAGAGACTAAAATAATCTAATTAAAATATTGAGGATCAAAATAATATAGATTAACCCGATAATTTTTCGGAAATCAAACAGATTTGATATGATGCATATGCATCCCAACTTTTACCCCCCTTCTTCCTCTCCCATTTGCTCTAATACATTTTTTATTGTTGAAAAATTACTTGTCATGCATTAAGCGGGACTTATTTTATATAAGTTAATTAAATGTGTAAATATTTAAAATAGTTGAAAATATATATAAATAAATAATATGTTAGGTATTAACAAAATAAAATAAATCAATAATTAAGTTTAATAATAATTAAAATAAAATTTAATTATGTGACACATAATTTATTATTTAATTTAATTTAATTAAATATAAATTTTTATAGAAAATATTATTATTTAAATTTATTTACATATGATTGCTAGTATATAAAAGTAAATTAAAAAAATTTTCTTCTTTTTTTAGATAAAAAAATAAATACAGTAAAATCCGATTTCTGACCAATTAAATCAATTCGTTGGTGGTAGAATTTAATTATCAGCATATATCCGTTGCTAGTCCTATGTTGACTGTGCAAAGTAGTGATATCTTGCGGTGGAAAGAGGTCTCCGAATATTTTTTTTATAGCTTTCAGAGCTACTATAGAGACCAGCGAGCGAGAGAGAGAGAGTGGGGAGAGAGATCAGCCTCGAGATCCCTCTCTCTACTCAGATATTCGTACGGAAAGTTATCGATCAAGGATTTTTTGGTAAATCTATCTTTCATCCTCTTCGATTAGTTGTTTTTTCGATGTGTTTGTCTGTCAGTTATCATCGATTGTTACATACGTTTGTTTTGTACAAAGTTCTAGGGCTTGTTTGTGATTGGGCAGACCCTTGGAAATTATGGGTTAGTTTTGGTTTTATCTATTGAAAGTGCGCAAAGATTGAATTCTTTCTCTCCCTCATCATGGTTAGGGTTATATGGGTTTTAATGTATGTGCGAATTAGTTGATAATACGTCTAGGTGGGAATTCGCCTATGAAAGTTCAGTCATTTTAAATCAAGGGGTTCTCGTATTCTTTATGTACGAAAAATTTGGTTTGAAGTTTTGATATAAGAATCATTGGTCATCCCAGCTTACGTGATTTTCTTCTGTTGAAAGTTATATGAGGTTAAAGGGGGAGGCTTTAATTTCAAAACACAAGTGTTTGATATCTTGGCGTTGATGGATGTGAATGTTTGATTTTGTCTTACACAAAGATAATGTGAAGGCATCTGGAAATATTAGTTTTTTTTTCTCAATTCTGGTGTTTAGTTGCTGATTGGGGTGGTTGTTTGGATTGTTGACTGCGATGGGTCAGTTAACAGATGAGAATTTTAAGGCTAGATCATATTTCAGTGTGTACTCGGTTACCTACTTTCTGCCCCAGCCTCTGACGAGGTTCTAATGTTTTTGCTTTTATCTTGTGCCATCTATTATTAGCCAAAAGGGTTCATCTATTTCATGGGATGCCTTGAGGCTAGCCTTAATCTTAAATCTTGCAAACTGAAATTTCTTTGCGGACTCATGGCATATAGCTATTATTTTACAACACTAGCTCTCTTTCTCATGAGGACTAATATTAGTAGTTGGCTTGTCTGTTTGGGGTGTGGAGAGGTTCAGAACTGTCTTGAATTTCTTGTTCATTCCAATGACTTTTCATTAGGGTTCTGTGTCTGCTGGCATTGGCATAGAATTTCATTACTTTTTTGCATCTATTTTTTGTAGTGAATACACTACCTGATACCGGCACAAATGCCACTCATTCTTATGCATTCCTTTTTGTCACTCTTATGTCCTTTCAAAACATGGACTGTAGCATATTTGTCTGCAAATAATCTTGACAGCGGAATGGCCAATCTGGCATTAATACTGCATTTAGCCATTCATTTGTGCTAATATTGAGCTTATGTATTTGGGTTTCTTTTTCCTATGCTGCAAATTGTTTCCTGCTCCTATGGGAGAAAAACAAATGTAAAAGGATCTAGTGAATCGAGAGGAAGTTGAATACAATTGTGATTAGTTTAGGGTTTGAGCATTTGGGGACATGGTGTGAGAGAATTGGCATACCTGATTTAGTCATCTGCATCAATGACGTCCTTGCATTAGTATGGTGTACTGTAGTGGGGCAAAGCCATATATTTCAAGTTGTGTCATTTATTAACTATTTATTGATATTAACTTGTAAAGGCTAACTACCTGGTATGGTCAGCTGTTTAGATACAGACCTTACGTTTGGCATTTTGTGCATTCGATAAAATCTACCATTAATCATCATTGTTAGAGCAGCCATATACCATGCAAATTCAAACACTTGACAAAAGAATAGTAATCGAATAAAAGCGTGTACATGCATTTATATTGAATAGCATTATCTATAACAAACATGTTGGGTACAAAAAGATATTCTTCAACATTTCATTAATTGGGTTTCGTATTTGGAAAGTGTTGTATGACTAATTTGGTTCCATTGAAACTCAAACCTTTGTTCAATTTTAATTCAACGATTCCAACCTCATAGAATTTTGGGTTTCTTTTACTTAACTTTGTATTCCATGGGGGAAACTGCAAGAAAGATGAAAATTCCCTCAAGTAGCTATTTCCTTCCCCTCCTTGCTCTCTTTCCCTTCTTTGCCATCTCTCCATTGCCCTGTCTTTCCTTTACGTTTTGGGCATTCATTGGTGGTTTCGTGTCTCCCAGCATCATGCACTCACACCGTCAGGCCTTTGGATGGTTATTGAATGAAAGAGACCCAAAAACCAAATAATTTAAAGTGTTTTCTTCTCCTCTTCTTCTTCTTCAGAAAGGAGTTGTCTTTTTTGTAACCTATATGTCCAACTTTACTTCCATATGGTGTGACAGTGACGGGAAGGACTATTACTTTTGAAGTTAAAGTGGAAGTGTTGAGTTCTTTAGGATGGGGAAGAAGAAGATTTTGTTAATGGAAACGAGTGGATACACACCCTTTTTTTGGGATTGTCTGAGTCATATGTATTCATATATTCTATGATTTGTGTGTTGATGCTGCAGCCCTGACATCCTTGATGTTTAGCATTAGGTTTTGTGATTGTCATCTTCTATGTGATGTAGTAAAATCATGGTAGACAGTCTCCTATTAAAGGTGATACCAAATTTATTGTTGGAAGCACAATATTGACAAAGGCTGAATGGAGTTGAAAATCAGAAGCACTGATTCAAGATCATCAATATATTTTGGCCTTGTCTTTATAATTGAAAGTGAGTTTTTTTAAGAAGTCATTTTGACAAGCATCATCTTGTGCTTTTTGTCTGGGAGGAATTATCTTAAAGTTCTGTTAGCTTTGTCAAGTATTGCCTTATTTTGCCTTTTCAACTTACAATTGTTGTGAATATGAATGATTGTTATGCTCGTGCACATGAATGTCCTATAATTTGTTAATTTTTCAGTTAGGGGCATTCCAAATCTGTAATTTTTTTGTTTTTGGGATTCTTGAGTAGTGTTGGACATTTTTTTGGCATGTAGTAGGATCTTGAAGAAGATGGGAAGTAAAGGTGGTGAGGATGTTATGATGCCTGGGGGTGACGAGGCTAAATGTTCTGAGACCTCTGTTGAGATAAAGATAAAGACATTGGAATCTCAAACATACACAATGCGAGTGGATAAATGTGTAAGCACTATTTTTCCTTTCTATTTGATTCACTAAGCCTAGCTAAACAGTATGCTGACTTGTACTCATATTATATATGGTCCAATATGTCATCAGACTTGGATTTCTTTTGCTATTTGAATCTGACAGTTCTTTTAGTTGTTAAATTTCTTGAATAAAATTACACTGCATGTTTTGCAAACTTAATTGGAAGCGTTGTGACTTGAATACAGTACCATGAATTTCCTATTCTTTGTAGACTGTTGAAGCTAACAAATATTTTATTACGCTTTTATTAGTTTTTCCCTTACCATTTTGTGATTCCCTGCAGGTGCCAATTCCTGATTTAAAGGATCAGATTGCCAATGTTACTGGTGTCTTGTCCGAACGACAGCGCCTTATTTGCCGTGGAAAGGTTCTGACAGATGATCAGCTCCTGTCAGCTTATCGTATCCTTTTTGGTTTCTTTCATTTTCAGGTTGTGGTGTGAGTCATCCGTATTCAAGCTCAGAGGTGATCAACAATTTTCTAATTTTGCTTGTGTTGTTCTGGGCTGCATCTGTTCAACTTTGTTTATCAAAGTGCTTCCAATCTCTGAGGAGTAGAGCCTTTACACCCATTATGATCATCTTGTTTATTGGACACTTATTGTATTGTGAGAAGGAATTTTTTCTTATTACTATTTGCTCGTAGCGGCTATCATTCTAACTCGGCGTAGAAATTCTCTCCTCATGGAATTCATCCCTCCTGACTGAATGATGACATATGTGTGCCACATTCCTGCCCTTGCATTGTAAAGCTTAGTTTTTGAAAGGTGGTTTGATGTTTTTCGTTTAAAAATTTCTCTTATATAACAAAGGTGATGTTTATACCAAGGGACAATACTAGTGGAAATTTTAGTTGTACTAATCAAAGATCTTCTGGAGCAGATGTGAGTCGCTATCTTTGGGGTGCTAATGGTTAAAATTGTCATCTGCCCAACACTCCTTATGGTTTGGTTTAGTAGAAAGTGGATTGTTAGGGTGGGTTATTCAGAAGCATTTTTTTTCATGGGTTGTAACTAAAGGATGGGGGGGGGGATTCAGAAAGATTGTTTGTGGACAGACAGATCTGTTGCAATGTGATGATGGTTTGCAAGTTGTTTCGTTCCTCATAACCTTTAATATTTTTTCCCAGTCTTGACAATCTAGGATATGTGTACACCCACCTACTAGCTTTTCTTGGGCTTACTTTTTTTAGTTTCGTAAGACTAAAGGTTGGTGAAGATATGGACTACTAGGGTTCTTACGGGCATGGTAGAAGGATTAAGGTTAGCATTCTAATAAACGTTGGGGTTTCTTAAAAGGTGAGATAAAGAAGGAAGGAACGATGAGTGAAATCAGAGGAGATTTTTAATAGGGATGACAAAGGCAACTTGCAATTGCCTTTCTAATAACCCCGTCTAGATTCTCCTTGGCTGACCACAGTCTTCTGATAGCAATAACTGCTTCTGGGGTTGAAAGTCAAACCGATGTTCTCCACTGGTTGTCCATCTTTAGATTCTGCCTTTGTTGATTGTCCTCTCTAATTAGCGAGCGGGAAGGCCGTGAAAGCCTCATGCGAGGTCCTAATTTTATATCTTAGAAGCCTTAATGCTTTTTATTTCTAACCGCAAACAGACTGAAAAATGCCTTTGCATGGAACCGCTGAAAAGCTTCCAAAACTCTAGTAGCCATGGACATTCACGTGTTAAATTAATTGCACAATATTCTTAAAAGGTTGAAAAAGTCAAAGAATAAAACCTACTAGAGTTAAAATACCACATACAGTCTGAATTTTTTACTTGCAAAACTGTCTAAATAAAGTTCTAATATGTGCTGCGTAGGGCTACCTTTCACTTTTGGAAAACTTGTGGTCCTAAATTGGAGTCTCTCTGCCTTGGGGCATCCTTTAGGATTTGTCATATGAAAGAGCGGACTACATGTGCCTTTGATGATTAGGTTGGGTGTTCTATGAGGGCCAACACCTCCTTGTTAAGACAAATAAACAAATGAATAAATATTTGACATATGGAAGCATTTAGTTTACCAAGGCGGCTAGATAATGGTACCTAGATCGTGCATCGATTTGGTACGTGGTATGGATAGGTGGTACGATACTTCTTCCATTACGCGGAATGGTGGTGATAGGTTTAGTTGGTACGTTATTTGGGTTGTGATTTGTTTTGTAACTTCTATATACAGTAATATATCTATATACACTTGGTCAATGTCAAAATATGAGCTTAAAGAACACCAAAATAAAGAAATAGTAAGTTAGAGTTATCATTTGGGGTAGGAGTTATGATATGAGATTACTTAGATCATGAATCAATTTGCGGTTTGAATTATAATTTGGGGTCATGACTTTGAGCGATATGGATCGCGAACCTACCCCGTCTTGGGTAATGCGAACCCAGTTGATGGGATGATAGGGATATCTATGATCCCAGGATCCATCTAGAATTTATGGATGCATTCATAGATTGTCTATATAGCACCTTTTGAAAATAAAGTGAGAAAGTGCATGCTATTTTAAGGACAAGGAAAAGTCTAAAAATGTCAAGATCAGCTACAATATAGAACGAGGATGCTATGTCAAAACCCTTGAGGTTTGTCACTAATTTAGACGGACCCCTCTAGTTTTGATAATATTAGTAATAGTCCCATTTATAATTATTATTGATGATAACACGAATTACCTTGTCATAGTTCTCGAGATATTTCCACAATAAAAATAGCCTTTGGATTTTCAACGGACCTTTACAGAATGGTCCAAAGTATGATATATCCTAGATGTGTGTGTCTCTCTCTTTTCGTGCCTACACTTTGTCACTGCAGTGTTACACTGCCTCCACACCCCAAATCCTTATGTCCGATCATCATCTATGTCTAGACCACACACACAAACACATCAAAACCTTACATAATCTGCTATTGTTTTCGGAATCCCAGTATGTTTGTATGTTTATAGTTTTGCATATATGCTTAGACAAAAGTTTGTATTGCAAGAAGGCTTAGCTCTCTACTTTTTGCTTGAGCTATCATGTTGTGTGGATGGATGGGATGCTACTGAGGTTATCGTTTATCTTTTCTATGTTTCGTTGGTGTACATTTTTTCTTTTCTATATGAAAAAAGAAAGTGGTGTCGCGTTGTCTAACGAATTTTATGTTGTATGAATATGCATATCCGTGTTGTGCGTATATTTTGGTAGATCTAGATATGCTGATGTGCATATATATATATATGTATGCTTTTGGTTATATAAAGATAGAAACTATGCTTGCCTAGGAAGCACTTATACGGATGAGATATGAGTACAATACGATACGGATACAGTGATATGCCAAAACTCGAAAAAGTAGGATACGAATACGGATTCAAATAAGTTCAAGATACAATTATAAAAAATATATTTTATAATTTTACTATTATGTGAACTACTTGATAGTTATAATTTTTTGTGATTCTTTAACAATAATAAATAATATTAACAATTTTTTATTTTCAAAAAGGTACCTATCGTTTGACTATGTAAAGTAATGTGATTAATTAATAGAATAAGAACCAACATTTAACTAGATTGTTTGCTTAGAAATATTTGTTGATAAGATTATTATGTAATCAACTTATGAATACTCTTTGGACATGAGATAGTGGATAATACTTGAAAAATACTAATGTGTCTTGAAAGTCATGTGTATGTTTGTTGATATATTGCATTGTATGAGAAATTGAAAGGAGGGGATAAAAATTAAAACACATGTTTCTCCTCATATAGAAGTATCTACAAAGTATCAATATATTTTATTTACTAGCAATTCATCACGTGTGTTGCACATAAACAATTTGAAGTAATTATTTTTTTTAAATCTATGAAAACATAAATTATATGAGTAGTTAAATTAAAAAAAATTAGGTATCGAAAAATTAATTCTTTTTTTTATTTCTTTCTAAACTTAAATATTGATCTATTCCACTTCTCTTTGAGTACCTAATCTGTCATTTATTAAGGCATCTCCCTGGTCTTCTATCGATACTTAATCTTTTATTTATAATGAAATTTCATTGTCAGATACATGCTGGAAAAAGAAACTTCATGTAAGATCGTTCTTTTTGAATATTTGCACATTGGATTATATTATTATTGATTATATTTTTTTAGTCAAATAGATTGATTAGATTATAATATTGTTTATATTTGTTAAACATCTATCTACTCTGAAAGTTTAAGTGTTAGAGAAGGTGTAACTTAAATATATATTCTTCAACACGTCCCTTACTGGCTAATTTTTTGGGCCTAACATGTGAAAATATTTTTAATCAATAGGGTGACGGCAAAAGCCGAGCACAATACTTCCTGCTTTGATATCATGTTAAACAACTATTTACTCCAAAAGTTTAAACTGTTAGATAGAGTATAACTTAAGTATATATATTCAACAGTATTAAACTATTGTTATATTGTTGCATACCAAAAAAAAAAAAAAAAAATCAAATTATAAGTATGTAGTTGATCTTATTATACAATCTCATAACAATAAGTATATAACAATGAACTTTGCTTTTTTATATAAGATATAGACATGACTATAGATCAATTGTATGCAAATGTCTTACTTATAAATGAGTTCAACAAATTGGGAAGTCTAATACTACTTATAAAAAAGTCCAAAAAAACTTTGAAGTCAAATAGGTATAGACAACAAAAAATAGATGAAAATAAATATAAGGATATAATTGACTTTATGATAATAATTAAGGATAAAATAGGAAATCAAATTTTTTCACATATGTTGATATTTATAATTAGTATAGATTATTTGATACGTTTGGTGTGTATTCGATGCATATCTTCGAGTATGGGATCCAATATGGATATGTTGACGTTAATGGAGTATCCGTGCTTCATAGATGCCAATATACATGCATATTTATGTGTATTTATTTATGTATATGTTGTGTGTGTGAGTATGTGTTGCCTAAAGTCAAACTTCATAGAGTCAATTTATCGTTTTCTAATCAAGGGGGAGTTTTTGTAAAATAGTGACAAACCTCAAGGGGATTAGATGTAACTGGCCTGAATTAAATTTTATGTTTGTATGTAGAAGAAAATAACTTTAAGTTATGACTCTTACACCTTTTTTTTTGTTTGACAACTCAAAATGCACTCTTAGCCAAGGATATCGGGACTGTAGATAATAGGCGTCCCATTATCTACGTTAGATCGCCCAAATTCATGACCCCTAATTGACCCATGATCTTGGTAATCCCAAATTGTAACCTTAATCCCAAATTATTATTATAACTGATACTTTCTGTTTTTATTTTTTTGATCTTTAAACTTCTATTTTGCTTTGTCATGATTTGAGTTTTTTGGCAATACAAAATATGCACTAATTAACTTTTATTTAGCACAACTGTAAGCCTTTGCATTGTTTACTGTTTGCTTTTGAACTTATATAATAATTATGAAATAAAAATTTATTGAATGTGTGAATGGAAGTATAACCATGTATAATTTAATGTGAAAATAGAAGTATAACTATGTATACTTTTGTGTAATTGAGAAAGTGATCCGAGTAAGAGCTTTGAAATGAATTTCCACCCAAAAGAACATACCAAGTTTACTCCCATTTAGCAGATGGAGAACTATCATATCACGAACTCGTACCCCTACGCCATACTTGATCGACTAGTCACCCTGGTAACGTTGCTCTCAGTGTTCCTTTCTAAGGAAGACATTGTGCGGTTCAAGTTAACTGTATGGCTGACATGTTTGAAGGAGAAGGCAAAACAAGAAAAGTCGCAGTTGGCAATTGGATATATATGTTGTTGCTGACACTAGGGCAACAGAAAGTCGTGTATTTGTAGTAACTTCTACTGTTGCATGATTTAAGAGTTAAATATTTATTAATAGAGCATATATCTACTTCTTGAAGACATTATTCGTTGTAAGTAATTGTCAGGCTTGTATAAATTATTTTGGTGGTGTATTCATGAATAAACTATTTTTTCTGTGGTAATTGTCGTGGCAAAAAGTGAGGTTTTATAGAGACTTTTGGTGCTTAATTTGGCTTTCTCTTGATTAGACTTTTGGGAGTTTTTGTGGGGTGGTGTTGGTGAAGTGTGAGTTTGCGATGTGGGGTTTAATGCTTTTGCCCTTCAAGGGTTCAATGCATTTGGGGTGATTTAAAGAATAATGCATTTTCTATTTATACCAGAATATCTAGTTTGAGAGCAGCAATCTTGTGGTAATTCATAGTGTTATGGTTGATTACATCTATGCTTATTGTTTTTTTTTGGTTTTTCCATTAAAATGTAAGTCGAGCATGGGTGTCATAGGAAAGAGAGTTTGAATTGTCCTTGTTTACTTGGATAGTGGAGATCCTTAATAAAAATGGATAATAGATGTGGAAGATGGTCACACTTTGCACATGGTGGAGAGACCACCATCATCAGAAGGCTTGCCTGATCGACCAGGTATGATGTGCTCTAACCCTTCATATCTTCTTCTTTATAAAGTTCCATATTGCTTAATACATGTTATAAAACTCTTGTTGATGATATCAGATGAAGCATGAATATTTTTAAAGAGGTGAGATATCCGTGTCGAACACCGACACTTTTTGAACACTCTTAGACACGTGTCCGATACTTTTTTATTTTTGTCCATAATTAGAGATTAAATTTTGATTTTGGACACATGCCCAACACTCCTTTGTTGACGTGCCCATTACTTCTTTAGGTCGTGTCTATTACTAAACAATTAACATGTGTTGACATACAATTTACAAAGCTTAGAAATTTGATATATAACTATCTATATTTGGAGAGGATACATAATTGTTAAGACTAGGCATGTTAAATTAAATAATAAAAGCAAAAAAAAGGCATAAATATTTTGCAAAAGAGGAGAGAAGATGAGAGCTATCATTGTGAGTATGTATGTTTGCTACATGTTTTCTTTGAAAAAATTGATGCTTATTGATTACTCAGATTCTCTAGGTTAAAAATTCACATTAGATGATTGGACCTTAGATTTTCTTGTCATAAAGAACTGAATTTCTTATGAATAGTATGATCATCATATTTATATTTGTGATATATTATGTAATATAGTATATAGAACATAATTATTCGTAACGTGTCCTCAAGTGTCCGTGTCCTACTTTTTTGAAAAATGTCGGTCGACGTGTCTGTGTTGTATCGTATTCAATGTTTTGTCTCCGTATCCTTGCTTCTTATCGTTTGCCATTCTATTGTTACATACACCTGTTCCTCCAAGCCAATTTTATGTTTGCAATTCGCTGCCTTTTTTGGTTGTCCATTGGTTTTCATTGGAACTTGTGAGGTAGATATATGTGATTTTACTTTTATAGTTCCCAACAATGATGTGTGGTCAATGGTATGCTACGTAACATAGATACTTGTCGAAAGGGTGTCGTGGCAATGTCAATAAGCATGGTTAAAAGAATCTAAATAGTGAATTCGGTTGGACACAACCAGGACACGGCTAGAACACAACCAGGATATGACCAAGATTGCCTTTTTAATCCCACAACTCTTAACTATAACTATTAAGAGATGTGTATGATTTCTTTATATTGTTTTTGTGTCTTGTATTATGTAATTTATGGACTATGAATGTAATAGTGTTCGATAAAAATGATGGTTATTTGTTTTGATCTATTTCAATTTTAATCAAAATATTAATATTTGTTGGGCGTTATTATTAGTATTGTTATAAAATATGATTTGTTGTTAATATATTACAATTCTATTATTATCTAGAAAATATATAATATTATTTTAATTAGTCGTATCTTTACCGTACTCATGTTCTATATTTTCGAACTTTGTCATATTATTGTGTTTGTATCATGTCGTGTTCGTTTTGTGCCGGATACGACGTCTGTGTCGGTATCCGTGCTTCCTAGATAGAATGTTGGAATTAAGGCTCCTAGTTAGGGTGGTCATGAGTTCGAAACTCCCTACTGCATCAATGACTTTTGTGCCACTTAGCAAGCGGGTGGAGTTGGCGATGACGGTGGGATTAGGATTCGTGTAATTTGTTTTTCTTTTGATTGGTGTGGCTGCATGACATTTTATACTCGGATATGAAATATTTCAGGTTTCAAACACTGTGCAAAACCTTAAAGCAGCCCACTGACTCCTCCTTACATTCAGCTAAAAAACTGTTACTTCTTCTAGTTTTTCCTTCATACTGCAAAGAGATAAAAAAAAGTAACTGAGGAGGGTTGACTTCTTCCGCTACAAGAAGTCTTCTAATGCCGATTCAGGCTGCTAGAAGTGGGGCTACACTTCTCTGATTTGACTTATATATTCTTAGGAGATTCATGTAGGTTATTACCTAATTAGATCCCTATTTATTGGGGATGATGGGAGGGTGGATTATATATACCTAACCTTCTATATTTTTTTGTAAAATGTGGTAGCCTTTAGATTTGGAACCATACTCTTACGGCTGTTAGCCCGACATTTTTACCATTGCACCAGGTGATACCCTCATATTTTTAGTGTGATTAAGAGCTGTCCAACTCAATGCTGTATTTAAAGACTATAACTTGTAATCTGTATTTTATTGTCAGAGCATTCGGCAAGTTTGTCTTAAAAAATGCCTAAATAGCGATCATCGGTTGCTGGAGCACTTCAAGCAGAATCACTAATGACAACTTATGTTGTTTGGTTGTTTTGTGTGGGTTTTTTTTTTGTGGTTTGTGTTGGGGGGTGGGGTGGCGGCCGAGAATTGCAACCATTTATTGCAAATTAGGAGAGATAGGCATTATTCGATGAGCACGCAAAGTCAAAAAGAATGTACTCCTGTACTATTTAAAGTGTATTGCTTAGAGGAGGCATTTTTATGCCGATAATCAACAGCTCTTGAGTGTTTTTTTTGTGACCCAAATGGGATGGCGCATGGCCTGCTTCTGTGTGTAAATACAAGCCTGTGTTCTAATAGAAGCACATCATTCCTTTATGAACCATTTTTGTTTGTTTCCTTTTTTGGGTTTAATTTTAGAAGACAAGTTTGAGGATATAACAGCCAGTTTTACAATCAAGCTTCATCTATTTGCAGCAACTGATACATCATCTAGTACTGGGCATAGTCAAGGCAATCAATCAGAGCCCAGTGTACTAGTTGGAACGTTTAACATATCTGAACAAGGAGATGGATCATTTCCAGATCTCAGTCGGGTATGCATGTTACTTTTAATGAAAGTGCAGAAGCTTTTGTTTGAATGCTTAACTGGAAGTATGATGGTGTTATTCTCCCACTCTCTTCGTGTGGTAGATTGTCTCAGCTGTTCTTGGCTCTTTTGGAATCGCAAATGTGGAGAGTGGCATTGAAGGGATTGATCTTAGAGTAAGTTGTTATGATTTTAATTCACAAATCACCCATTTTAGATTGTAGATTGTGGTGTTGGTATTTTATATGTGGTCCATTTTACTTGAACTTTTCCATCTTAAAACTCCAGTAGATAATTGGTGTGCAAATTTTTCTCAAGGTTTTTTTTTGATAGAAACAAGATTTGTATAGTAGTATCAAAGTGAAAAAAGTACCTGAGAGGACAAGAATTCCTCTACTAGAAGCAAGAATAAAGAATAAAATAACAAAACTAGGAAACAGAGAAAAAATTTAAGGAAATAAAATGTAGCTGTGTATCAACACTTTCATGCACTTGGGCCCAATGATTTTGAATCAAAAACTACTGCATCCTTTTGAAATCGTTGGACATTGAACCATAAAGAGAAGCTAAGAATGATATTTTAACCTATATTTCTTACCAAGGAGACTCTCTATGATAAAGCATCCTCCTATTTCTTTCCAACCATAGCACCCAAAAGATATCCAACACTGCATATTTTCATCAAACCTTAGCTTTCTTGCTATAACCAAAAACATCGTACTCCATAGAGAGAACAAAGTCAACTTTTTGGAAGCACCCAAGGAGTTCCTACCCTCTCCAAAAGTCTATTCCATAGTTGGACACAATTTTTCTCTCAAGGTGGACAATCTCTGTGTGTGTAGATGCATATCTAAACATTATATTGAGGTTAGAACATCCAACCCAAACTAATTGGCAACAAGTGTGGGTCCCCTCTAGTATAGAAACTGACCTTAAATTTGCTTTATTTACGATGTGGGATAGCTTCTTTCATATCCTGCTGCGCGTGCGACCCACACTTGTATGTGCGCTAACAAATTGAACTGAAATTGACAACAAATAGATTGGAGTGATCAATGGGCCTTTGGTTCAATGGTACTTCTTGTCTTGTAAAGGCTTTGCCTTCTTGAGATCAAGGGTTCAAATGCCCTTCCTCCCAAAAAACAAAAAAAAAAATTTTTAAAAAAAGAAAAAAAAAAGAGACTGGAGTATAAACAGACAGATAAACAGACCGGGCAAGAAACTTAACCCACCAACAACCCAAGGCCTATCTCTGATACCAGTCCAACCAAAAGCAATTGGCAATGAGTGAAGTAACCACCTGTAGTATCTAAATTGACCTCGACTCTACTTTCCGATGTGGGATATCTGTCTCCCCAGTATACACAGTGATTGGGTTGGTAATGAAATTATGAGATGTTATTATACATTGATAACTAATACTCTATAGTGTAGATGAACCTTTGTGGTTTTGTAGATAGGACCTCCACCATTAGGGGGATCTTTGAACCACTACTCAAGCCAGTAATATTATAAGATGCAAGACATTGCTGTTTGATGGACCTTTAACCAAGAAAGCTTCGTTGTGCTGCTTTGGTTTTGTTTTTTTTAGAGGGCACATAAAAAGAAGAAAGGTGTTGGGGAAGCATCTGAGCTTAACAGCGATTTATATCTGAATGTGTTTCACTTTTATTCATTTTTATATTGTTTTGCTAGCAAGCTGCTCCAGAAAGGCTTTCAAGAACACCTGGTCTGGGTGGCTTGAGAAATTCTAACAGACAGCAACCTGATGAGGCTGCTGTAAGGGGTCAGTCTATTCCCCATACCGGTGCTTCTTCACTTCCGACTGCTGTTCCTTTGGATCTCCTGCACCCGCAGGTAAGTTTTGGGTGCTTTTTTCCATGTAACTTTATTTGCCTTTTTTCTGGATGTTAATAATGTATATTTTCTTGGCCAAGGAATCGGTAGTTGAAGAATTGTTGGATTATGTTTTTGCTATGTTTATCTAATTGTTCCCCCCCCCCTTTGGGAACTATACATGTTCATGTTTCTCTTGCAGGTTATTCCCGATTCGTTGACGACTTTATCCCAGTACTTGGGCCGTATGAGGCAAGAATTTAGCGCCTATGGTCAGGAATCTTTCTACTTGTTGATAATTTTTAATACTCTTCTCAGTTTGTCTTTTTAACTAGTTGATACCATGTTGAATTTTAGGGTTGGCAGTCAGTGGCCAGAGCAACCATTCTCAAGCTGCAGGTACCCATGAGAGTGATGGGCTACATTCAGTTACTGCCTCGCAATTAGCTGCTGGACGGAGAGGTCTCCCAACGCCAGCATCCTTGGCGGAGGTGATACTGTCTACTAGGCAAATACTCAATGCAGAAGCTGGAAACTGCTTATCAGTATGTGCTTAAGTAGTTCATATGTTGTCAGATCTCTGATTTAATAGCTTCAGTCGATGTCACCTTGTTTCTTTGGCCCCCCTAAATATGAGTTTCGAATAAAACGAATGAATATAAAATGTGATTAATGATCCGTGTTCTACTGACATGAGGTGTAGGTATGTTACTCCAAATGTAAAATATCTTGTCCTTGCATCATTCGGGTCTAAAACTTTTTGCTTTCTTATCGTTAACCTGAAAGATAAGCTAGCTAATTAGTCAAAAGAACAGGAAAACAGGAGTTTCTTTGCTCGTTAGAAGTTAAAAGTTTTCCCTCCTGTGTAGAGGCTACCAAAGTGTCAGTCCTTTTAAAGTGGGATTAAGATATGCTTTGAGTCTTTCCATGCAGAGGTAAAAGGAAAAGAGGCAAGGGTGAAAAGGAAAACTTGGAAAGAATCTTTGTTGGCCATTGGCACCTAAATTTGGATTGGTATTTCTCCTTTTTCTCAAATTTTTCATGCAAGGAACGCACAGATGTTCAAATTCAGAACCAGATAACTAAATGTTACCATAATCTTGTTTGGGGTGCTCTAACCACAGAGCTCTCTTCAATACTAGTTTTCCATGGGCAGTCGGGGGAGAAATGCATGGTATCATTGCGTTTAAAATCCCATTACTCTAAAAGAGACATGGTATCATTGCATTTACAATTGATTAACAAATCTTATGGCATTGTCATTTTTCATTTTTGCAGCAACTTGCTAGACAGCTAGAGGATCATGCAAATGTGACTGATCTGTCAGAACGTATGAGAATTCAATCTAATGCTATGAGATCAGGACATCTTTTGCAAAAGTTAGGGGCTTTATTGCTTGAGCTTGCTCGGACAACCATGACATTGCAAATGGGTGAAATGCCAGTGAGTTAAATTTGTTCCCTACTTATATTTTGACTTTGCTGCTGGACTCGCCATAGGTGTTTGGTTTGAAGAAGATCCCTTTTTAAATTATATCAGGGAGACTTATAATTTATACCCATACTGCCCATGGGTTCCTTCACTCATTTCTTCCTCAGGCTGATGCCGTGGTTAATGCTGGCCCTGCGGTCTTTATATCCACATCAGATCCCAATCCTATAATGGTTCAGGTATTTCGCTTTATTTTGTGAAAAATTCTCTTTGTTTGCAGAGTTTTCTGACTTTTCGTTCTTTTTTCCCGCTTTTGTTTTTCACCCTCTTCCTCCGATCTGCACTCCATGTACAGCCACTTCCTTTTCAACAGGGAATGAATTTTGGTGCGGTTCCTGTGGGAAGTGTACAGGCTGGCTCTGGATTGTCTGTTGGTTCTAGTGATCCTGGATTTCTTCCGAGGAATATTGACATCAGAATACGTACAGGTGTCATACTTATTTTAGTCCAGAGTTCTTCTGAATAGTCTGTAAGAGGCCAGCTTCTCTGTGGTTCTAACATGAAAAGATTATGTCCCTGATGTTTTCTTATTGTGATGTCTTTATGAGTCTTGCATCGATTAGTCAATTCAAAAGTTCTGTCATGGCATCATTCTGACAATTGCATGTATGATGCTGGATGTGTCTAATTCCATATTTTTCTCAATCTTTACCACCAGGTTCATTGATATCCTCAGCCACTAACCAAAGGGAATCAACTGGTTCACAGCCTCCAGAGCAAATTGATCCAGCAGCTTCTGGTGGTGGGAATCCCGTTGATCAAGCTGCTTCAGCAGCGATCAGAAGTTCATCTTCCACCAGGGAGTCTGGAGTGCACATAGTTCCCATGAGGACTGTGGTTGCTGCAGTTCCTGCTCCTGTGGGACGTGTATCTTCTGAGCCATCTCGTGGTGCATTGGGGATATTCTACCCTGTTCTAGCTAGAGTTCAGCATGCAATTTCTGGAAACTTGAATAGTACAAGTGGTTCTCAAGCATCCGATGAACGTCATTCTCGTGATCTAAACACCGGACGTCAGGGCATTTCTGATTCTGATGTACAACAGCAAAACATTGGAGTTCCTGGAGTAGATGGTAACCTGGAAATTACTTACGTTCCTACTTTTTCTGTTTTATGGTATCATAATTAGCACATGGAAATTTTCTTTTTGTGGGAGAAGTAATTATGTTTTGCTAAAAACTTTGACAACCGAATAATGTTTGTCCTCCATCACTGTAAGAGGGTCTTTACTATTACACATGCTGACCATTGACTAAGTAGGTTTTGCATTCATATCATTCTCTAGATAGGGCAGTTGCGTTTATAAAAAATCTTGAACCAGAAGGAGCTTATGCACATGCAAATCCAATTAGAGCTTTATATGCAACATATTTGGTAAGTCTAGTAAGAGTAACATATTGGATGGTTCTGGATGATCATGTTGTTGGAATTTAATAACTCTTAGTCTGTGATATTGTCTTCATACCAGTGTTCAAACATTTTTTGGGTAAGTAGTGTTTAGACTTGAGCTGCACTTGTTTTGGCAATCCACGTGTGTAACAACTATCTGAACCTCACAAGCTAGGAGCCATTATCTATTTTGTAAATGCCCACAATGTGTCATCCCCCCCCCCCCTAAAAAAAAAAAAAAACCAAATCCCCTCCTAATCAACAAATAAAGGGGAGGAGAAGATAAATACACACGCCAATATACGTTGCATCAATTGTCAGCATGTATTAATTTGTGGGCTCACATTCCTTGCGGTATATTCACAACCATGCATATTTCGTTGTGCTTAGTTTTGGAGGGAGGCAGGGAGGAGTGGAGAGAGACAAAAAGCACTATGATTTACCATCATCCTCTTGTTTTACATTTATTGTTGGGGGAGGGAGGGATTGAGATTAAAGCACACCAACCTCGTCCTTTGTTCATATATAATGTGGTTCATTTTCAGGCACCGTTGACTCAGGTAGTGGGATTTCAAATGGTCAAGAATTTTCTGCACAGGGTCACAGTGGATTTGATCAGTTGCTGAGAACTATATTTCCTGGTGAGCAGATCCATGACGGCGACATTAGCTTTCAGGGGATGGATACAAGTTCTGGTTCAGGACATGTTGGAACAGCTCAAGGTGCTGCGAATACTCAAGAGGCAGCACCACGAGTGGGCGATGAAGGAACCTTTTTTTCTAATATGCTACATCATATCATGCCCATGATATCTCAAAATGTGACCATAGGGTCAACTATTTCAACTGCAGAAGGAGCAAGTGTTGTTGAAGATAGAACCACACAGGCTTCCCCAACACAGGTGTGGTCCTGCCCCTTTCTCCTGGCTCCCACCCACCTGCACCAGAGAAACCAAAACAGGAAAAATCACCCTCTCCCTCTCCTCTTCTTCTCCCGAAACAAGAAAAAAGGAAGAAAACGCGGAAAACTTGTTGATTTTTTTTTGGCTTTAAAAAAAACGTGCTAATTCTTAAAGATTGAATTTGGATTATTCTCAGATTTAGCATGGTGGGTCAAATGTTGGTCTCGCAACATAGTTTCTAGAAAAGTAATTTATACTGGAGATAAATTGTGAAGTTTGTTACTTTCTGGAAATTGTAAAAGTTTGTGTATGGGCTGCCATGACACTGTTATACATATGTGCAGGCCCAGGGGAACCCAGACAGGGGAACATCTTCACATCAGCGGCATGACCCTCCTTCTGAATCAAGCTCAAAACGGCAAAAGGTATTTGACTTCTTTCTTTTGCACTTATTATTTTCCCCTAGGTTTTGTTGGAGATAATAACCTGTCTTGTATGTGATGAAGATACTATGATGGGTAGCTGGCAAAACTTTGTTCTACCGCCACCAACTCCAAAGTCGTGACCTGAACAATTTTTAAGTGGCCAAATCTAGTTCCTTTTAGGCATGGATGTTGGCCGGAAATGAATCTCTGCATACTTCGGTATGCTGGGGTGTATAATGAATGTCTCAAATTTTGCTAACATTTGCAAAATCTTTAAATTCTTTGAGCTTTGGTTGAAAAGGTAAGGCTCCTGTGGATAAGCTATTGAACTGGGGTTTCTACAGACTGAATATTTGCTACTCTCTTTAAGTTCTTTTGTAGTTGCATTGTTATGGTTTTAATTAGATACTCAATTCTGTTTTCTGGAGACGCATGATGGATGAATCGAAGGCCATTGGTAGAATTTCTGGTCTTTTCAACTAATCAATTTTTTTGGGCTTGAATGTCAAATTCCGATTTTACACTGAACTGTGAAATCATTATGCACATTAATCTTTTGGGTGACTATTTTTTTCAGGGTCTCGATGATGGATTTAATAGTTGAGTTTGTTTTCCAATTTGGATTGTTTACAATGCATAGCTTGTATGCATGTTACGGTGAATGGTATCCGGTAACAATAGACATGCAATGCTCGTATGCAAATTGAGAGAACTAGATATTCAACTTAGGTTTTTCTTACTCGAAATGTTTTCTTTATTTTGATGGTGTTTTTCACTTTTCTGAAAGTTGAGTCTCTATTACTCAATGCAGAGGGAGTGATTTATATGAAGATGCAATATGGACCATAGACAGATATGCTTTGAGGCCCCTGACAAAGTGATGTTCGAGATTTGTATAATGGAGGTTGGAAACGAAATTCAGTTGGCAGCCGGCACAATTGGAGCAAACAGTGAGATAAGTACACAGAAGAAGGTGGATAGTATTTTTCTACTCCTGCCTCTTTTCGTTCGACAATTTTTTTGTTTGTTTTCGTTTTTGATTCATGTACCGTTGTTAGTTTTCGAGTATGACCCCTTGGCGCACTGAAACCAATGTGTAAACATTCAACTGGAAGTTGTGGTGGTTAGAAGGCCTGGTCGATGTTTTGTTATTGGAAAAAAGTGAACTTTAAGATGTATTCATAGCTATCTGGGTGCACAATCCATTTTTATACATGTCAAGTTTGGACAACATTCGAGCTGGCTCAGCCTGACCCGATTGACAGTTCTATATATTTCGTCAAATTCAGATGTCACCTCCTTTTCTAATTTGTTCAAATGAAAAGTCGATATTGATTTGAGATGGTTTTTGTGTACTCGTCAGCTTAAGCATGCTGCACTTTTTATTTTTTGTTTGTTTCTTAAATTTTCAAAGACTTGCTAATCTGGTCAAGCTAGTTAGAAGGTTTCATTTTTTCTTTTTTTGGGGGATTTCAAAATCCATCAGTGTTATTTTTTGGAGTACAAAATCAATTGAGTTGCGTTTTGATTGATCGAGCTTGAGTTTGAAAAGAATGTAGATTTTTGGTCAAACTTGGCTCAGTCAAAGTTTGTAAACTTTCGACATCCCGAGTCAAAAATTGAGTTCAATTTTTTCGTAAAAAATTGAAAAATTAAATCTCAAAACTTATATTATTAGTCATAAAATAATCAACTTCTCACCAAAAAATCATCATATGTGTTTAATGTATAGGGTTAATTATAAAATGCCTCCTCAACAGAAGTTGGACATTTGACCCTTAGTTATATTAAAAGACACACCTGCCCTTAAATCTTTATGCCTTTGGAAAAAAAAAAAGGAAAAATGAAAAATCTTACCCCACCCAACACCTAACCCTTCTTCAGCAAACCAAGCTACCCATTGAAACCGACAACTCCAATTACCCCAAGAATCCAACAACCTCGTCAGCAAGTAGAACATCTACCTCCTTCCTAACAATCAACCCATAACCTAGTCCACCCTCTCGTGACAAGCAACACCATGACTATCGTTGTCGTCAATGATGACCTTCTCCAACTAGCAAAGCCCACCACCATTAGCGTGAACACCATGACTATCGTTGCCGTCAATGATGACCTTCTCCAACTAGTAAAGCCCACCACCGTTAGTGTGCGCCATAACCCAGACTCATATAATACTGCAACTTTCGCTTGCACAAAGGCAAAAATGGAAGCATACACATTGAGACACATATGCACCGTCGAGCCTTCGCCAATACTCTCTTTATGGGCCTTTGTTGGCACAGAATCATTTCGAAGCTCCATTCAATGTTTTGAACAAATCAGAGTGTTTAGGGTTGATGTCAAATAGGTGAAATTGGAGCCTTGTTGGTGGTTGTGTTTTACATTTGCAAAGTGATGGGATTGGATTTTATTCTTTTTTTTTTTTTGGTCTTAGTTTCTCTGTTCCTTTTAGTTGGTTGATAAAGGTTGATGAGGATTATGTAGACCGTGGCTGCAACGATGGCAAAGGATTAGAGTGTCGTTGCTGTTTTTGCTATTAGTGGATATTGGATTGGCGAAGCTAGTTCAATCTATAATGCATCATTGTTGATTGAGATTGATGAACGAATGAAGTTTTTGGTTTGGTTAATTGCCTAGATGATTCTGAATATGTTTGAAGTGGGTAATAATAGCATATGGTTGGTGATGGCTATGGCAGTGGCGAAGGTGTGGGGCGATGGCATTTACAATGACGTTGGAAATATGATGTCAGCTTTTTGTATATAAGATGGAAAGAAAGAGTATTTTAGGATTTTTGTACTTGTCATCGATCTTATTAGTTAATATGGTCTAGTGAGAACTTGGAGGGAGTATATTGTTTAAATTGAAACCAAAAGAAGTTGATTGTAATATGAATCAAACTTTGAGGGGATATTTTGTAATTAATTCTAATCTATATTTTTATAATATAAAATAAGACATGTTTCAATAAATCTATCTAACGGTATCAAATAAACTCATCAAACGGTCACTAACATCCTTCTTAAAACTATTTACATAGTCCTGTGTTTTCAGGCATGAGTTACCTTTAGTTAACCATAAAATCAAGCCCTATAAGTTCTCGTTTCAAGAATTTATTAAAAAATAGAAGAAAATAAAAATATATATGATCATAAACTATTTGATGATAAATTAAGGGTTAATTTATAATTTTGATAGAGATTGTTTAACAATATAGCAATAAAGTTAAAATTATTTATAAAAAAATATTTATTTGAATCAAGTAAAACTTACTCTAGATATCGATTTAAAATTATCAAATTACGATATTTTTGAATTTATTTATTAAAATACGACATTTTTTAAACAAATAACAGAGCTAACAACCCTACGTTTTAAGGGTGAATTCATTAACTTAACACATTTTTTTTTGTATCTGATTGTGCAACCAAAGGTTAAAAACAGAGTTGTTGACCCACCTTTTTAATAAAAAGGGGCGGAGTTTTGACTCATCTTTTTATCAAAAGTGGGGTCAATAATTATATTTTTTAAAAGTATCGTATTTTAATAAATAAGTTAAAAAATATCTTAATTTGATAGTTTTGTTTCATAATTCCTATAAGTTGGTAATTAATTCCACATTGTTTGGTTCGACTTATTAAAAAACAAGCATAGAAATTTGACTAATTTATTATTATTTTACAATTTGAATAAACTAGAGTCGATTAAATTAAGAGTAATCTTATTTAAACCTAAAAATTTAACTTAATTTGTTGACATAATGATTTGGTTTCAGTAAAATAATTGGATCAACACCAAATTTCAATGTTTGATAGAGTCTACAATCAATTTAAAGATCATGGTGAATTAGTTCAGCAAATTAAGTTAGTAAATTATCTTCCAATAATATTATTCTTAAATTAAATCGTGCTACTCTAATTGAGGGGTATTATGGTCAATTTTTCATTTAGGGTTCCAATGTATGAACTGTTAATAGGTGACTACCACTCCTCCCTCGTTCTGTGTTGCTTATAGGGATTTTACTGAGCCGACCCTACATTGCACTACTCTTCAAGCTCTTCAACTCTATATCGTCCACTCACAGCTCTCAACCATGGCCGAACAGGTAACCGTCTCTTTCTGTGTGTGTGTGTGTGTGTGAGAGAGAGAGAGAGAGAGAGAGAGGTAATATGGCTTAGATCTTTACCCTTTTTTGTGTGTTTCAGACTGAAAAGGCCTTCTTGAAGCAGCCCAAGGTTTTTCTGAGGTAGGATATACAAATTTAGCTGTCCATTAACCTTGAGAATGTTTGTTTCTATGTGTGATGAATGTGGAAGATCACATTTCTGTGCAGCTCGAAGAAGTCAGGGAAGGGGAAGAGGCCTGGAAAGGGAGGAAACCGATATTGGAAGAACATTGGTTTAGGCTTCAAAACTCCCAGAGAGGCCATCGAAGGTTGAGATTCTACTTACATTCTAACGAAATGACTAATCCATGATTGAATTGGTTCCATATATAAATTATCTAAATGCATGTAAGAGATGAATGCATAAAGTCATTAGTTTGTCTGTTAAATTGCATCTATATTGCTCAATGTTTGTGTGAAATTTGAAAATTGAGTAGACTATGTTGAGATTTTGTACATATGCCTGAAACTGGGATGTAGGTCGACTGAAATTGAGCAAGGACTTTGTTATTTTTAATTAAGACTTTGTTGCTCATTTGAAAACCAATGCACAAAGTATGTACTGATTTGTGAAATACTGGTATTGGAAGTTGCGGATGTATTTTTTGTAAAATACATGTCGAAGGATTCATCTAACTAAATTTTATTTAAGTTCACTTAATTGACAGTAAATTTTTTTTACCACATATAAGAAATAATTAAATAAATTGATATTTGTGAGATTTTTTTTTTTTTTGGGGGGGGGATTTAAAATATATTTACATAAAAAAAAATTCGGCAACCAAAAATTGAGTGGGGGCAACTGCCCGCACAAGTGGATGTGTAGCTACGCCCCTGGTTGAGACATGGAAGGTTAACACTTTGTACGACCGACACAGAGTTTGGTCATTCTTCTAACTGTCATTTGCAGATCATATGAACACTATCATTGAGGAAATGTACACTTTTTGTTGTTCGTCAGTTGGGTGGGTTGGGAGTTATGTAAATATCAGGAATTTAATGTTTCTGTGAGCCTCTCCCCGAAGTTGTTTTTATACTGTTTTTCAGAACTCAGAACTTCGAAATGATGTTTGTCTCTTGGATATATGCCAAACAGTGGAAATGGACTTACCTTTTCCTCAGAGTAGTTGATATTTTTGATGAAGGGGTAATGTGCCAATAAGTATTGCTCCCTCTGTTTTCAGGAACATATATTGATAAGAAATGCCCTTTTACTGGCAATGTCTCAATCAGGGGTCGCATACTTGCTGGTACTTGCCACAGTGCCAAGATGACGAGAACAGTCATTCTCCGACGCAACTACCTGCATTTTGTCAAGAAATACCAGAGGCAAGAACTAAATCTTCACTGAAATTGGTTCTATTTGATTTTTTAAACAAACGAATATAAGTTTGATTACTTTTAGGTATGAGAAGAGGCATTCAAACATTCCAGCCCACATTTCCCCATGCTTCCGAGCGAAAGAAGGAGACCATATTATTATTGGCCAGTGCAGGTTTGTACTTAATCCCCTTTATCTTCTGCAATGAATTTATAGGAAGTTTTGGCATCTGTTAACCATCCATTTATATGTTACTTTTTAGGCCATTGTCAAAAACAGTGAGGTTCAATGTGTTGAAAGTGATTCCAGCTGGGTCTTCTGGTGGTGGGAAGAAGGCGTTTGCAGGAATGTGAATTTAGAGTCTCAATCTTCGTTCAGTTTTACAATATTTTGGACTCGAATCTGTTAAGATTGTCCGACTTTTGTTAGTTGAAACTTTATTTGCCATTGAAGGCTTAAATTTTGTTAGTCACCAATTTATGATATCAACGATTCAGATTCTCCTATTCTTTTTAGTTGGGATTGGAATGTCTTAAGCCTACATTCTGATATTGGGTACATTCACTGTCCAAATGCTTTGTGAAATCTTTATAAAAGGACTGTTCCAAAATGAACTTATACTCAAAAAAGGATTTTGATGGTGCTTGAAAATCTATTTACCCAATTACAGAACCATGATGTGGTGAGGCCCAAGAGGGACTTTGTGTGTGTTTGTGGGTGAGGATGCGTTCAGTGTGTAAAAGATGATGAAGGCAGTAATATGAGCGGTTTATCTCAGACGAAAGATTAAAGTTATGTTCATTTTAATAGAGATTCTTGTTTCTTGAGTACTGTATTACTTAAAGAAAAAGGTAGCGGTTAAAGGGAGTTTGGATGAGAGTATTTTTCAAGTTGTCTATATTGATCTCTTTTTTTACGGTGGCTTTGTCTTTTATTTATATATTTAGTTGTCTAGGTTTTTTTTAATTCTTTATTTTTTAGCTGATTTTGTGGTCCCCTCATTTGTCTTGTAGAAGGGTTAGCTTAACGTCTTCTGCGTCCACGATCTTTGAAACGGAATGTATGTGATATTTCTTTTATTAAGGAATATTTGTTTGTCAGAGTCGTCAGTTATTATCCTCCAGTCCCTTGGCCAAATTGCACGGTCGGAGTTACTTGAGGCTTGTCTTGTGTTGACCTCTTTATTCTCGAGTAGGTATTTGTCATTGAGCTTGTTGATATATATTTTGAGTTGGACGATCTTGGACTTTCACGGCCCTAGGCTATGAACCGGTCCATGGGCAATTTAGATTGTTCTTTAACGGGCTCACCGAGTGTTTTGGGCTCCAAGTTATCATCATCACATTTGATAGCCTAGGACATCCTTCTTTGAAGGAGAAAACCATAGGCTTTGGCTATCAAATGGTAGGGGTGTCAATTCTGACATGTCGATACAAATTTGACACAAAAGATTATAAAATTGATACAATTATTAAATAAGTATAACAAATAATCTAGATTAATGTTTAATATTTAGAATATATTAAATAAATTTTTTTTCGTGGGTCTTGACACGAATACGACATAAATAATAATTACACGATACGAATAACACGACATGCGGATCACACAAACACGACATGTTTGACACCTCTACCAAAAGTAGTCTTCACGTGCATACTAATAACCTGTTCATCGTTCTTAGATGCGACCATGATAACTCAAGCCGGTCAACTTTGTATCGAGAAGGTTTATTTTTTTTGGGTTAATTGCAAATTATCCCGAACAACATGGAATTTCAATCCATATTGGAATCAAAGTAACAAAATACTTTTCTCTTTCGGACACATGAACTGAACCTAGAATTTTAACATGTGTTTTTATCTATATTAATTAGTGCACACGTGCATTATATAGGACTATTTTGAGTAGTAAATAATACATGTTATTGTCCTAAAAATTATTAAATATTTTATTATTCAAATGCTCTCAAAATAAGTATTCCTCTACCATATATACCTGAATAAAAAGATAAAAAAAATAGGAAAAAAATTTGACTTAATTTATTAATTTAATGAAGTGATTTTATTAGAATCATCAGATCAATACTAAGATTTAATATTTAATGGGACCTACAATTAATTCATAGGTCATAATAAATTAAATCAGTAAATTAAATCAAGTAAATTTGCTCCTAATAACATTGCTCCTACTTTTATATTGTGGTCAACTACAATCATGGGTATCTATTATTGGTTGGATACCTTTTCAATCATACAGATCATTTACCATGTGTCTCCACATGACTAAACCATGTCCTCACTTTGCAAGGAGAAAGTTTTGGAGATAGAGAAACGCATAAAACACACAGGGAACAAGAAATATATAGTTTCTCATAAGGAGCCTCAAGAATCCCCAAGAACTTAGTGAACCGTCTATAACTACTATTCAAAATTTTTAACGGAGAAAATGACTTCTGTCAATCTTTTTGGAAGATAACTCTAGCAATAGGCTTAGTGAGAGGATCAACCATCATTCTGCTAGCAGAGATATGCTTTAGAACTACTTCTCCTTACATGACCATGTCTCAAATGTAGAGAAATTGCATATCAATATGCTTGGTCCTGCCATGATATTTAGGATCCTTTACATCTAATGATTCAACCGTGCTATTGGATCGAATCTCAACAACCTCATCAGCGCGGGCCACAATCCCTAATCGCTGAATGTATCTCCTCAACTAGACTGCCTCTTGAACTGCTGCTGAATAGGCAATGTACTCGGACTCCATAGTAGATAAGGCGATAAAGCTTGTTTCTTGCTACACCAAGAAACTCCTCCTCCTCCTCCAAGTGTGAATTCATAACCAAAGGTGGATTTGCGTTCATCTCTATCGCCACCCCAATCTGCATCGCAGATCCTCTCAATCTCAAGTCCTCGCCATGATAGCATAGGACGAGATCAATGGTACCACGAAGGTAATGAAAAATCCTCTTAACAACCTGCCAATGAACTGGTCCTGGGTTGCTTTGGTAAAGGCTTACCAAGCCAACTGCATAACAAATATCAGGACGAGTACACAACATATCATACATTAACTCTGAGCACATAATTCGCCTCACCTATATCCTTCATCTCAAAAGCAGAGGATAAATACTCCTTAGTGGCATTGATCATCTCTATATCGTTTCTAGCTAATAGAATGTCATCCACGTACAGAGGTAGGATCAAAATTCCTTTCCTTGTATGTTTGACATACATACAATGGTCTTCCTCCATCATAGATAAGCCAAAAGTCATAATGGCTTCATGAAACTTGAGGTACCATTGTTTAGATGACTGTTTGAGACCATAACTTGATCGTTTAAGGAGGCACCTTGCTTTCTTGCTCCTCAGCTACAAATCTAAGAGGTTGATCCATATAGATCTCTTCATCTAGTCCTCTATTGAGGAGTGCAGTCTTGACATCAATTTGATAGAACTCTAAATCCAAATAAGCTACTATGGCTAGAATCATACAAATAGAGGCAAATCTCACAACAGAGGAGAATGTCTATTCATAATCTATACCCTTCATTTTGGGTATACCCTTGTGCTACGAGTCGGGCTTTATACCTTTCAATTGGCCCATATGCCTTACACTTTATTTTTAAGACCAATTTATTCCAAATAGTCTTGCGTCCAGGCCGAAGATCAACTAACTCCCATACTTTATTCCTTATCATTAAGTCCAACTCATCTCCCATGGAAACTAGCCATTCATCAAGAGTAGGCGAAGTTAGGGCTACTGTATAGGAAGCAGACTCATCTACATCCAATGGAGTGCAAATGAAAACATCCCCTTCAATATCAAAATGACGACAAGGAATATGTCCACGTTCATTCCTATGTAGCAAAGATCCTTATGAGTTACTCTTCATTGGTGTGCTCCCACTGGGTGGAAAAACACTCTTATTATGATAAGACTATGTATCATCATCGCCAATGGACATTGCGACCTCCTCTTGTAACTCAAACAACTCAAGGTCCTTTTCAACTTAACTTATGCTTGGGAAGTCATACTCAAGAAATTCTACATTTCTAGACTCCACTTCAGTCTTCCCCCCCATCTGGATGTTCCCCATACATCATATTGTTGGAACGTAAATCCCAAGAATCGTTGACAGCATTAGGGTTTACCTTCGAGATTCATCGGGATTGATCTTGTCTTAGCATGAATGTAGAACAGAATCAACGAACAACCGAAAGACAGCTCGACGAATCTCGCGGCCTTTTGTCGTATATTCCCAAACGTCAGAATTCGGATACAGTGTGGGCTGCCAAGACTCTGAATCCTTGCTCTCTCTTTCAGCCTCTCTCAAAATGTGAGTAAAGAATAGATCTTGAATTAAAGAGCCTAGATGTATATATATATATATGCTACGACAGAGACCATAAGGAGAAATAAGGATTGAGCTTTCAATAGGCTTAAGAATCCTATGTTCAACCCAAAACAAACATCCTATAGCCCATTAATAATAAATTAGTCAACTAAAGACTTATTATCGATCTCCTAAGCCTTATCTCAAAATTATATTCGAACTCCTTATTATATGTATAATAATCTCTCCACATTTAAGATTACATATATTCATCAATTAAATAAATTACTGACAATTATATTTAATTTTTTTTTTTATTCTTTGAGACCTTACCACTAAACTTATTTGTTATGTCAGATAATTAAATCCACTTGCAGGGTTTGACATGAATAAAACTTATGAGCTTCCTCAAGAGGACTTCATCAACCTATTTAAATACTAGGACGTGATTTTCTTTAATATTTAAATTTCACCATACAAATAACATCGTCTTCCAATTCACCGAGCTTATTGACTCAATATGAATCTCACATTTTGATGAATTAAAGTGACAAACATTAAATGCATGTGTCAATTAAATATTTTGGGATTAAGAGTATAAGCAATCATAATAATTATGAGCTATTTATTATTTTATTGAATCAGTAAAAAATAATAACTTTAACATGAGTTTATTCAATATACAAAATGTACTAGTGCAATAATCCGAGACATCAAACAATCTCCTACAGTCAAGACAGACAATCATACTAATGATGTGTCCAATTCTATTTAGAATTGTGAACATATACTCATATTATACAAGGATCTAAAAATCTGGTCTTCTGTGTATAAGCCAAACTCTACATACCAGATTATCTACAATGTAAAATATAAGACACTTATGCATATCAGATATTAAATATAATGCAAAAATTTTGCCTATACAGATTCTCAGTAAAATTGAAAGAACAACTTTTATTTATAAATAAAACGAGTTTCACTGCAAAAAAATAAGCTTTTAGTATACTACTTTATTACACATAACCTTTGGAATTCTCTAGATATCTGATGAACAATTACTTGCTTGCCCTAAGGCCAAGCTTGTCATACTTATGGGAGGTGTTATGAACATAACCAGCAAAACCCCATGGGCTCAAATGATCCAAACTAGGCTTTGCGTCATTCCATAGTTCATATGGGGTATTGGGCACAGATTTACTAGGTACTCGGTTAAGGATGTAGGTTGTTATCAATTAAGTATCCCCAAAAAACTTATTGGGTGGTTGGCTAGCGCTATCATCGATCTAACCATATCTAGTAAGGTATGATTTCTTTGCTCTACAACACCATTTTGTTACGGCATTCTAGAGATTGTAAGTTGTCTATGTATACCTTTTTCTTGGCAGAGCTCCTTAAATTGCTTAGATAGATATTCACATCCTCCATCTATTCAAAGAGTCTTTAAATTTATCTCCTTTTGATTCTCAACCTTTGTTACAAAATGCTTGAAGCAATCTAATGCTTTTGTGAGAAATCAAATACACACAATCGAAACGCGAAAAAACATCAATAAATGTAAGGAAACAGGCCCTAACATTCATGGGTTCACAAATGTCTGAATGAATAAGATTCAATAGATGAAAAGTCCTTAAAGCCTTACTAAAAGGTTTTTTGAATGTTTTTCCAAACAAACAAGGCTCACACTTAGGAATGCTAACTATACTGAGATACCCCAATAGGTCTTCTCTAGCCAATCTGATCATTCTTTCTTGTCCTATATGATCAAGTCTAGCAAACCATATTAGAATTTGAGGGAAAAGTAACATTAACAAAAGAGAAATTGCTAGAATCAACACCTAGTTTAAAGGATCCATCTACCAAACATCCAAGCTCAAATAAAGTACCATCCCAGAGGATGTCCAAATTATTTTCTAAAAAAAACAAAAGAGAATCCAAATGTAACAAAACTAAAACTGAACATAGTTTGCACCTAATTCTATGAGCATATAACACATCATGTAGGAGAAGTACATGTCCACTGTGCATTTTGAGCTAATACGAACCAACTCCAAGAACTTCTTCTTGTGTGCCATTCGCAAAAGTGACATACTATGTGCCCACTAGAACTCGATGGTAATCCACGAACCCAACTCTATCTTGTACTATGTGCTTATTTGCTCCAATATCTACAATCCAATCAGGGAGAGATGGGCAACTAATGCATGTGAACAAACATATGAATATATAGAGTTAAGTGATACCTTCTTCGGCTCAGTACGGTCATGAGCGAAGTGTCCCTTCTTCCCACAGTTGTAGCACTTTAATTTAGCTACATCTTTTTTTTTCAACCTTGTTTGCCCCTACGGGGCTTGGCATCCTTATGTTCCTTTGGTTCATGATTTTCAGCTTCCTATTTAGCAACCTTCCTTTGTCTCTTATACTTAGGCCCCCAAAGACCTATGTTTCCCAACTTTGGAGACAAGAGCAACTGGGTGATTCACTTGATTCACTTCTAAGCGTTTTGCCTCAAGTTTGAGATAACGCGAACTATCATTAAAAGTCTTGACATTTTCATTGTGAGTCACCAGGAGCTTCATATGTGTCCATTGAGGGTCTGGCAGGGAGCGAATAATAACTAGCACTTACTGTTCTTCTATGAGGTCATTTTCAGGCTCCCTTAAGTCACGTATCATGATATTCATGACGCGAAGATGCTCAACCATGTTATGCTTAGGATCCTTCATATACTGATGGAACCTAAGGTTCAAGGAACGAAGCCTGGTATTTAGCTGATGTCTGGCCGCAAGTAATCTTTAACTGGTTCCACATGTCTTGGCTCTTACGCAATTCTCAAATTTTCCAATAAGGGTGTTGTGCATGTTGCTTAACATTGTAAAGCGTGCACACCAAACCTTTTAGCCCAATTCTCATAGGTTTCCTTATCACGACGATACTGGGCCAAGTTCCTTTCTTCAGGTGGGATCACGAATGTGGTAAACGTTTTCAAAACTTATTGGTCATTGAGTAGATATTGAATTTTTGTTTGCCACATGCCATATTTTTTCCTATATAGCTTTTCTCCTTTTGTTAAGTCAACAACTATGTTCTTTGAGGCCATTTTCATTTTATTCAATATGTAAGGCAATGGACATTAGACATATATCTTTCAATTGATTAGATTATCATATTATTTCCTTCATAATAGGATCGAGAATTTCGCTAAGCTAATAAATCATCACCCAAATATGAAAGTTGGAATATTTAAATCTAATTAAATATTTGAATAAAAGAAATTCATTCATTCATCATCCACAAAATAAGCATAAAAAATAAATTGTGTACGGGCTCCTTTAAGCCCCCTTGATATTTATGCACCTCATGCTAAGACACATTCCAAAGAAATATTAGCAATAGTGAAACATACCCCCTTTCAAGGCTTCCTCACAAAAATAATTACATCACCTAGAAAATCTAATACAAATATTCTACATAACAAAATAAATAAATGAGGATTCTGCCTTGACAATATTTCTTAGAAATAGTCTTAAAACGCAATAAATAAGAAAATTAAATAATAAAAAACACGAGTGCATAAATTACCAATTTTCAACTCCCATCAACCTATTCATCCATACATCACAAACATAGAACTTGACTGATGGGTTAAACACACTAATCATCTAACAAAGTGGGTATATAGTCTAAAATAAAGCCTAAGTTGGAATTTAAATTTTGATTACCCATTTGGTACACAAAATTTCACATTAACATGCATCACATAGATGAAACAAGTAATTTAAAGGCAACTTTTAAATTTAAGCATTTTTTTTACCCCTAAATGTCCAATTCTAGAATATTTGTAATTTTAAAACTGATTTAACATTAATTTTATAGGAAGAATTAATTAATTAATTAACTATCAAAGTTAATATTATTAATTTTAGGTGGATGTATTGAAATTGATTCCACAAGGTGTCTGAGACCCGAACTAACAAATGCATAACATTTTATAAATATTGGGGTCTAATGCATAATTTGTGATATTAATTACAAGGGTTAAATTTTAGTTATTATTAGGGCTATGGGAGTTATGTCATCTTTTGAATTATAACTCTAGGGGTTGACTTTTATGATAAAAGTTTTGTTTTGGAGTTAAATCATGAAAGGAAAAAAGGTTTTGGGTGTTATTTATTAAGTGATTGAATTATAGGGCTATATGTGCGAATAAGGAAAACTACGCAGGACCTAAGTGTAATTATATCAAAAGTTCTTGTGTCAACAAGGACCTCTGTCACTTTTTTGGCTTAACCTATGCCTAATATGCATATATGTATATGTATAAATAGATATATGTATGTGTGTGTGTGGGTTTAAACAGGGAGTTTCAGAGAGACAGAGATAGAGAAGGAGAGTGTAAAGAGAAAGGAAAAGAGAGGGTAGGGGAATATTTTGGCTTAGGAGCTTTGGTTTTTTGGTGTGAAAACACCGTGGAACAAGATTGTTCTTCTTGAGTCTTGAATTCAAAACAAGTTCTTCTTAGAGAATACAAACAGAGTAATCTCTTTTGGTAATTGTTTCCTCAAATAATTCTATTTGTTTAATTGTTTAAAACATAGGAAGTAGCTTGGCTTTTGATTTCTATAAATCTCAGCTACGGGTGTGGTTTCGATTTCGGTTTATGGATTTTGATTTTGGGTCATCATGTATGACCTATTGGGTTTGTAGTTAGGTTGAGAGTTGCATGAAATTTATGGTTATAATGGTTGCTATAGATGTTGAGGGTGTTAGGAATTTAAAAAGATTAGTTTTAGGTTGAATTGGAACTGTTACGCACTGATGAACAGGTTGAAAGGGAGTTGAACCAGTTGAATAGGGAATTTTCTTTGATGAACTTGAACTAGTTCAACCAGCTTGAGTGTTCGTAGGAGAATCGCGATAACTCTTTCTAAAAAATTTTAATTGATTCACTGTTTTTCTTTTGTTGGAACCAAGAATCGTAGATATTTCCAATCATATAGGGTACAACATCTAATTTTTTTTGTGTAAAAAATGGTGGCCATTTAAATTGGACTGAAATTCTGCAAATATTTAACAAGCGGTCAGCTTACTATTTTTAGGAGAAATGAGATAACTTTTCACACGAGAATGCAATTTGAGCCAATGGCCTATGGTTGCAAAGTTTGAAATGTTTATTCTAAGATGACATTGATTTTACCATGCAATTCAAAGTTCACGAAGATTTTTAACTAGGAGATTATGGGTTGGTCAATCTAGCCATTAGATGTGAACGTGAAAATTAATGTGTTTAATTGTATAATCTAAACTAAGGTTTTGATTTACCTGAGAAAAAGGGTAGGGAGATGTGATATCTTAAAATTAATTAATCATTTATGCGTGTGATGCATAATATCATGTGTTTGTAACTGGTACCCATGTGTCTTATATCGTTGTATGTTAGGTACTGAAGCGACAACATCAACGTCAAGTTTATCTAAAAATGTTACAGGAAACTGAATCCGAGTTTCGATGTAACACGAGGTGAGTGTATTGATTTATATTGATTAAAAATGTGATTATGTGTTTATCAGTTATACTTATGTGAAATGGCTTAGAGATTATTTGGTAAGATATGAGTTGTGAAATAGTAATTGGTTGTTGCTAGCTATATTTATTTGAAATGGCTACATTGTGAAACAATGGCTTAAGGATAATGGGATTGTGAAACAATGGCTTAAGGCTTAAGGATTATGGGTTGGTGTTGGGTGTGATTTCAATACATGAATTGATTGTGGATGTACTGGGAATAATCACTAGTGATATAATAGCTAAGATTTCCGAGCGTAATTGGTAGCGATGGGTCTACCGAGATTGTTGGACAAAAACAGTAAAGATATAATTGTCAAGACTCTCGAGCGAAAATGAGTAGCGCTAACTGTTGTGAGTTATCGGATATTGAATAGTAAATTTTAGTTATTGTTATTTGGATATCGAGTATTAGTTGTTGAGTACTGAATGTTGGATATTTTTTGTGTATTCCAATTTAAGCTTGTATGGGAGATATGAATATAATTGATAGCGTTTATGCATTTCCTTTTAATATGTCTTAAATATACTAACTGAACATTTGGTTTGCTCACCCCCACAATTGATTATTTTCAAGTGAACGGGTCAAAAAAGTGGTCTATTGAACAGTCTAGCTTTGCATAGAGGTGTGATGTCAAATTGTACCTTATGTTAAGAGTTATATTGTACACAAATAGCAAAGATGTTTAAATAATGATTTTCCAATAAAAATGTCCAAATAAAAGAAAAAATATAATAATTAAAAACTTATCTACAAGTCGATGATGGTGATCGGTATTTGTAATTCTTTTTTTGAAAAAATCCTTTATTGATTAAGAAAAATAGACTTTGGAAGCAAAAGAAAAAAAACTAATAATATACCTCAATCGGAGAAGTAAATCGCCAAGTTATATGTTGAACGAAATTGCAATGAAACCGGCCATTGAAGACACACTTTTACTGCAGAGATATATCAAAAAAAAATACTCATACGTTGAAGACACATTTTTACTGCAGATATACCACAAAAAATTGCTTATTTAAAATTCAAAAATGAATAATAACAAATATGTAATTTTTACATATTTGTTTCCTCAAATAATTGTCAATGATAACTGCATAATTTAAGGAAGAGTGTTTAGGTAAAAATATTTTTAATTCATTTGAATTTTGTTCCCAAACACAAAAAATTTTATAAAAATTTTACTTAATAGAATAAACAAATTATCCATATATTTTTGCTTAAATAAATCTAAAAAATTGTACTAACACCCAAAAAACCCTTGGTTCAATGACCCATTTTTTAGGGACCCAATATATCATGGGCTGGTATTAATCGCCGCCCAATGATCCCAACCCGGCCCGCAATGCTAGGTCTTATCAAAGGAATGAAACGAATTCAATCCAATTCCGACAGGTTTCTTGTTGATCTCCTTCGACGTCTGCTTCACGATTCAAGTAATGTCTCTCTCTCTCTCTCTCACACACACACACACACACACATACTCATAAATGCATGTATAAAATTTTCTAATTTTGATTTGGGCGTTTTTGTAGAAGTTTGCATTAATTCACCACAGCCTCCAACATTGCATCCTTTTGTCAAACTAGAGTAGTGTAGTGAATTAAAGTGTGTTGTGTGTGATTGCTGAGAACTCCACTGATTTTTACTCGGATTTTGTCTGTTGCGTAATATATGAATTTGGGAAGTTATTTTAGGGTTTTCTTATCGTTGTCTTATAAATTTCATGCTAACCTTTGCAGTTAATTTTTGGACGAGCGCTTCAAATTATCCTCCTTTGTTTGATTGCTGAGGAAATTGCCGATTTTGTTCGAAAATCAAATGGGGAAGAACGATTTTCTAACTCCAAAGGCAATTGCGAACTGAATCAAAGCAAAGGGTCTGCAGAAATTCTGATGGTACTGCCAGATGTGCTAGAAACAATGCCGAGACGAGAATGGATTCAAGTGTCACTGCATGAGCGAGTCCCACCAGCGCCAAATGGAGGTCTTCGGCCAAAACCCTAATCAAATCGTTGATGGATACTTCGAGGAGTTCGAAAATGATTTTTCGGAGCACATGAAACGGAGCCACTGATTCAACCGTGTGGCCGCCACGGTAGTATACAATGAATATATAGCCGACCGGCATCATTTTCATATGAATTCCACACAATGGACAACATTGACGGAGTTTGTGAAGTATTTGGGGAGGAGTGGGAAGTGTAAAGTTGACGAGACCCCAAAGGGGTGGTTCATTTCTTACATAGATAGAGATTCGGAGACCCTTTTTAAGGAGAATTTGAAAAATAAGAGAATTAAGGTGGATCTGGTGGATGAAGAGAAGCAAGAGAGAGAGATTATGAAGCAGATTGAGCGGGCAAAACAGTTGATGACAGAGCCTAATGGGTTTGATCCACAGCCTTTAGAGTCACAGCCAAAATTATTGGAATTGGAGAATGGTCAGAAAGTTTCATTGAGTCTTGGTTCATCTTCAAAAGCTGTTGGGAAAGAGAAGCCCGAGAGCTCGATATTGGTGTTCAAGGATGTTGAAGAGGATAAAAAGAGTGGTAAGGGTAAAGATAATGGCAAATTGGGGAAGACTGGTAACGGTGGTGGGAGATCAGCATTGGACGACTTGATGAGAGAGCAGGAGAGGCGAAAGAGCGGAGTAACAGGAAGGATTACTGGTTGTGTGAGGGGATTATCGTGAAGGTAGTTAGTAAGGCATTGGCTGAGAAGGGTTCCTATAAGCAAAAGGGTGTTGTCCAAAAGGTGATTGATAAGTATGTTGGGGAAATTTAGATGCTTGAGAGTAAGCATGTGCTGAGAGTCGATCAAGAAGAGCTTGACACTGTGATTCCCCAAATTGGTGGCCTTGTGAGGATAGTTAATGGTGCATATCGTGGATCAAATGCCAGGTTGCTGGCGGTAGATACGGATAACTTTTGTGCAAAGGTGCAGATTGAGAAGGGACTGTATGATGGGAGAGTTCTTCAGGCTGTTGAATATGAAGATATATGCAAAGTTGTTTAGTGAGACATCCCAATTGTAGATTATGGAACTCTCAGTTTTCTTGTTTATCGTCATCTGCGTATTTATTTTTAAGTTGGTAGGGTATATTGAGCCATTTCTGAAATTAACAATAGTTTGTGTCTTACATCACAAACATTGGCAATATGCAGTTCATGATATACCCTTTATATAATGAACCTTTGGTTGTGTATCCCTTGAGAAGGATAAAATAACGTTGGAAAATGCTATTTGTCTTGGGAGTTGGGTTTTTACTTGTGGTTTATAATCTCCAAATTGCAAATTACCAGTGCTCTTCTTACCTTCATCCCCATTTGATTGAATGAATATACAGATTATCATACTTTATTTGCTGCTGGTTTTCAAGGTGTATGTTAGCCTCATAAGTCATATCTGTTTGCCTACGTTGTTCTTGGTTGAGTTTTACCTTGATGTGATTCTATACTGATTTTTTTTTGAAGAATGTTCTGGTTATAATCCACACATATTAGGAGAATTTTTATTCTACAACATTTATACCTCTTTTTGCGATGAGATATATGTGGTGACTGTATATATATATGTTGACGAATTATTCTCTAAGATCTAGAAGGTGTCAATGACTATTCGTTGGTACTGATGACCGGTTTGAAACACAGATATTTGAAACACAGATATGGCGATACGATCTGGAAGAGAAACACAATTCCTAATGCATTTAATTATTTCTGTAGGATGAAAATGGTAAGCTTTCTGTGGGCATAACTCGTTTGATTAATTGTCCTAGTGTGGTATAGGAGCAAAGTCATTGGGTTTAGGAAGCTATTTTAAAGGGCATTTTGACTAGGATCCTACAGTTGTTCCTATTTACTGATCCTAAAACATTGTTTTAGGAAATTTATACCAATTTTTAGCATCTTGTCATAAATAGCAACTCCTGTTAGGCTTTTTGTATCGTAGTCATTGTATGTGCTTGAATGGGCAAAGAAGAGAGTTCAGTATTTACCTGTCATAAGAATGTCAAATACAGTTTTGATTATTTAATGGTAATCAATGAATTGTCCTTGACTGACTCCCAAGTCCACCATGATGCCATTTATGGCACAATGGAGAGAGCTGCTTCTAAACTTGATTCTTCCTCTATCGTGTTTCATTTCATGTCATCATCAGATTTACATGCTTAGTACACAATCTACATGGCACAAGTGCATAATCTAGCTGCCTACCCTTCAAAATGCCGATGATTTGATGGTTAAGTCTACAGTGGTGCCAGAATATACATTCATGTTGGCACCTCCTTGTGATCCTAAAATCCAAGTATTGCTAATCTGTGGATTAGCAATACTTGGATACCATTCAAAATGCTGATGATTTGTAAGGGGTTGACTTACCATTTACTGAGAGTTTGCTAATATGTGGATATTCGTGGTGGTTGTTTTATCTCATTCTCAAAAACATATGCTTTTGGATGTTCTATGGTTTGTAGTGCTGTGAATTTGTGCATATCTAGAAGAATATCAGATAGTCTCCTTGAAATTTATATTCCCTGGTAATATATTTTCATCAGAATATCGCATGCCTGATGTAGTGATTAATAACCATTTCTCTCACTACTAGTTCTGTACTTGTTCTTATGGGTCCATTTACTTGTTTGATTTTGAGCTCCCCCAAAAAACAAATCCTTGCTTTATTTTTCACATGACTAAAAGTGATATCTTGTCTTATATCAACAGCCAAGAAATACTATCCTTCTAGACAGCGACTAACCATCCCTCTCCAACCGGGATCAAAGGAGAAACCTACAGTTCTTCAATCAAAGAAATGTCTCAAAGAGTATAGTGACGGAAACACTGACAAATTAACTGTTGTGTTCAAGGACCTTGGTACACAGGTTTCCTACCGTACACTTTTCTTCTGGGAATACTTGGGTCCGTTGGTGATCTACCCTGTCTTCTACTACTTCCCCGTGTACCATTTCTTTGGCTATAGAGGAGAGCGTGTCATCCGCCCAGTTCAGACATATGCCTTATACTACTGGTGCTTCCACTACTTTATACGTATCATGGAAACATTTTTTGTGCATCGTTTCAGCCATGCAACTTCACCACTTTCTAATGTGTTCTGGATCTGTGCTTATTACTGGACCTTCGGGGCTTAAATTGCTTACTATGCAAGTCATCCACTTTATACTCCTGTAAGTGATCTCCAAATGAAGGTTGGCTTTGGGTTTGGAGTAGTTTGTCAAGTTGCAAACTTCTATTGCCATTTGTTATTGAGAAATCTTCGGAGTCCCAATGGGAGTGGAGGGTACCAAATCCCACATGGGTTTTTGTTCAATGTTGTGACGTGCAAATTACACAACAGAGATTTATCAGTGGCTGGGCTTCACCGCTTCAATATTGCAGCACAGACTGTTGCAGGCTATATCTTTATGGTGGTTGCCTCTTCCATCATGACCAACTGGGCCCTTGCAAAGCACCGCCGTTTGAAGAGAGTAAATTTCTTTTCTTTATTGCTTAAGTAGCAAATTTCCATTTTTTTTTTTTGGCATACAGTAAGCATGAATTCAGTTTCAACTTCTTAGAATTTGAAGCCCTTATCACCTCAATATAATGTTTCTATGTAGGCACAACAAATTAGTCGTTTCATAGGATGTAGGTTTTCTTTAAAGCAAAGCATGTGTCATACTAGGCTCTGATTCGACTATTTATCCAGTCCATCAGCTTGTATGCTAATCAGATTTAAGAAGACTCGATATTATTACGATATTTCTTTTTAAGCTAGTTGGTTCAAAATTGTGCTCATGCACACACATACACATGCATGCAAAACTAGATTATCTGCCTGGCAGACAGAATTTTGTATCTGATTCTCCCTTTCTGACGACGTAACAAAATGTAGAAGGCCACAAACACACATCTAGGAACATATCTTCCCAACAAACCTTCTGATGAATTTCTGTGTAGAGAAATATGGATCTTTCCTTCCACCAAAATATCCTTTACATGATGTCCATCTCGGTTAGACAATGTAACACCTTCTGCCTTTTTATATATGAACTCACAATGATTGTTCAGAAAAATTTTGCAAGCACTGCCCTCATTCTTAGAAACTGATAGGGAAATGATGTAGATTAGGAAGAGAAAAAAGAAAGGGATGAGAAATCAGAACAAAGGAGAAATTTTATTCTCAATATTCAACCAATTCCAATTCTGACAAAAAATAATGACATTAGTCCCTTTATATAAGGAACTCCAAAACACTAAAATATAAAAATTGATAAAATAAAAAAAAAAAATTGATACTTTGAAACTGTTAATCGTGTTAATTTCGTGTTGTTCGTATTTGATACTAACCCAACCCATTGATTGTTTGTGTTAATAGATCGTATCATATATGAGTTCGTATTGAAAAATAATTAACCCTAAAATTAATTTTGAATCGTATTTTCGTGTTATATGTCACCCTAATTATATTTGAGAGTTACCGGCAAATGTTGACCCAAGATATCTTATGGGTCACCCCAATCTCATCGTATAGGACCGGGTTATCAGTGCAGGTTCTCAAACCCTAAAATGTGCTTTTGTTGAACCAGACGTGCCTGCTCTCCACAGACCGGGCCGACTGAACCAGACAAGTTTATCTGTGCACAAACGAGCTCTGTTCTTCAATTGACCGATCCAGATATTGTGATTCAAATTGGAGATCAAAGATGGGTTTGGTGTGGACAATCGTTGAGTTAATCATCATCGTGGCTCTTATAGTGGCTTTAGGGTTACTGCTGCTATTGTATTGGAAACATTAAGAAGACGTTATAATTACATGTACATTCACTTCTGAAAACCAAACCTAATTTACATCGAATTTGTTATGTTCTACTTTAATTTGTCATTTTTTTTTTAATTTTCAGTCATGTGGAAGCTCTTCCAATCTTTGAGGATCCATAGTCGTTGAAACCGGTGATGTGCTTCCTTTTGTCTCAAACTATACATGCCTTTATGCTTAAAAAAATATATTGGAACACGCATATCTATCTATTCATCTATCTACACACACACACACACTCACAAACAATTTAGAGTCGAGAGGGCTTGGGAAGTCTTACCTCATTTCATAATTTCTTAGAATTTAGAATGAATTTGTCATTTGTAGCTACCCCTAAACTCCTCAATAACTAACCACTATTTTTTAAAATTTATTAAAAAAAATTCATTTTTTTAAGACCCAAAAGCTTTCTATAATTGTTTATCTAACTTCCCAAGTGATAAAATAAAAAAAGAAATAGATAAGTAAAAAAATAGAAAAAGAGACATGAATTATAATCTTGTGCATTGCATGGGGTTGGCGGCTAGTAAATGTTATAGACTGATGTACTATTGATTTCATTCGAAGAAATTGGGATTGTGATTGTGCAATGACTTTTATTGGGCGGCCATGAAGATTATTTGCTCTGAATAATGGAAGTATGCCATGTGTAGTGAAGTTGTGAAATTGGCTTCTTTTTAAGTTTTTTAGGCTGATGCTATTCTATGAGCATTGATGATGGCAATATCTTCCCCCCCCCCCCACACCAACAAAAAAAAAAAACTTGCCCAACAAATGCTCATGTCACTGGGATTGATTTGCAGAGTGTTATTGTGGTGTTCAATTAGGGAATTTAAGGAAAATAACTGCAGCAAACAATTAGGATTTTAAAAGTGCTCGATGACTTTGTTGTGTACCGTATTGAGAATAAAAGTCTAATTCTAAAATGACATTCAGGCATTATGCAAACCATATATGGGTGCAAGCTCGCAAGTGGTGGTTATATTGGACAACATAGTACTATAAAATGTGCTACTACTGCAACAGCAATGCAATTATCCTATGCATGGCATGGCATTGTTTATTATAGAATAACGCCTGCTGCCCAATAAGATCCTAATTTGCCAAGTTTATGCATCGATTAGTTGAGTGATAACTGTATGATGATGTTTCGACTTTTGCATGATGCTTTTAACAGTGAATGAGCCAATCTTTTTAAGCAGCGAGTGAGTGAAGTTATTTTAGAATCTTCCTGGATTAATTTTTTGTGTTTAACTTTAACTGTGAAAACACTAAATTGGTAGGATCACTTTCTAGAAGTATCAGCGATTTGAAGTTTTTGTTGGAGTTATTAACTGTGTTGGAGGCTTCTGTTCCAGGTTCCATGTCCTCATATTTTTGATCCTGCAGAAAAGTACTTATCATTGATTGTTCCTGCATTCAATGAAGAGCATAGGCTTCCTGGAGCACTCGATGAGACCATGAAGTGAGTTAAAGCATAGCTGTTCAGATGTATGTTTTTATACATATATATATCCAATATTATTGTCTTGGTGTATTTATATCATTATCCATATTTTGTGACTTCCGGTTTTCATCAATCATGATCAAGATTAATGCCATTCTGCTAGTGTGGTTGCCATTTTACTGTTTTTCTTATCAAACTTTGGTCTGTTAAGAAAAAGACACCTGATACTGTCCGATTACTATTGGGGTTCAACAACTATAATTGTTGGAGGCTTGCAGCACCTGTACTTACAATGGAAGCTGTTACCCTTAAATGTTCTCTTGAGACTCTTACGTAAATGTGTGGCTTTATATTTTGCTATCAAGTAAGCATGAATATGAATACGGGATATAGGAACAACACTCCTTAAAAAATGATATAGCATAAGATATGGATACATAAAGATATGTCAATAGTATATTTTGACATCTTGTATTATAGAATACAAGTTAATATTACTGATTTTTAGGTGTATATATATCTCTGTGAATATAGTTGAAAATTACTCATATTTGCGTAAGCAAACTTATTTTATCTTTCACTAGAGAGTATCAGATACATTATGCACATTCATGAATCCTAATTTATCAAAAGATGCTACAAACTTCATTATTCAATGCGTTTTAATGGAAAATTCATGTGAAACATTGCAGAAATAGAGAATTGGTATACAGTATTCAAGTGTTTATGTTAATTTCACTTTCTAGTTGTGTCAAATCCTAAGAAGAGTTAGCAAATTTTGTTTTAAAAGGGATTCTTTTATGAACTCTAATTGTCCATTTAAGAAATCATATATTTGGGCCTACATGTTCTTGACATATTCTTTTATCCTAAGTGTATTGGCCGCATATCATCAGGGTATCCAAAATGCATCGGAAAAATTAAGTATATTTTTAGATAGCTGGCTAAATTGTTATGTGTTTGTCCATATCTTGAGGCATATTTATATCTGATATATATCAGATTTGGATAGTCCAGCCTTGGTGAAGAATCCTTGCTTCAGAACCTACTACAGAAAGAATATATTGCTTATAAGGCACCATTAGTTTTTGTCGCAACTAATGCATTTTCCTAAAAGATGAATACAATTCAAATGATTTTTTGATTCAAACAAAAGAACACAGCTATACTTGATATCACTGGTATTAAGTTTTTCTAATTTTGGAATTTGCATGCTTTAAGATAGGTACCTACAACAATTTTGATTTTAAAAATTGTGCTTGTGAGCTTTGGAGCAAAAAGAAGAGAAAATGACAACTTCCTACCTTTGTGGATTCTTAGAGGGAAAAGAAAGGAAAAGAAAGACAGATTCCCTTTGTTAGGAAAATAAGGAGATAAAAGAAACTTTTAAAAAGAAGGATTACTTTTGCAAATGTTAAAGATAATCTCAGATTCCCTCCATTGCTTCTGTTTCTTTTATTTTCTCTCCTATAGTTAGTGGTCAACCTGTTGATTATTCGGCCCAAATTCTTATCAAACACCATAAACCTGCATGAACTTTGTTATGTTCTTGAAGCGACATCTCCATCCAAAATGGTCAGAGTTGGCCTGAATTAGAGAGCTAAAGTGCTATAACGTGTTCACTATATTTCAAACCTTAGTTGAATCACTTATGTTAGAAAAGTCGCTTTTGAAAAGTTGGGTTAAAATGATAAACCAATTAAACAGTGGGAACATGCCAACATTGCATCAACAAGAAGTTCAATGGACTTCCGCTTTTTGTTATTTTAGCAGGATGGAGAGCTTCATGTGATCTATAGGATCTTTTTATACCTTGTTTTTTTGACTGCATTTAGTTGGATCTCTTATCCAACCTCTTATTATGTAATTTATCTTTTATTTATTTTTAATACAAGAGTAATGTTTCCTATCAAAAAAACACATTGCATCAACAAGGGTGAGTCTGGTTAGGCACTCATTCCATATCTTTATTAATTAGAGGAAAAAAAGTAATAGCAATTATAATAAATATTATAATAGAGTTGGTTCAGAATTCAAGTTGAATCTCTAGTCATGGAACAAATTGATTGTTAGCGATTGGATATAACCCCTTACCACATCTTATCCATGATGGGATTTGAGCCCTGGTTTCTTCAGTTTATCAACGATCAGAGAAATTGTAAGCCATAAATAATCATCAGTTGAATTTGTAAAGTTGGAGATACAACTCTAGAGTAGAGCTGATCATATGCTGATTAGGACAATGCAGCTCCAATTTTACATACAGTTGCATGTGGCATCTATGCACTCATTTACCTATCAGTCTGGCATATGAATAATTCGTGATATTACAGAACTAATTCCGTGGTTTTCAAAGTACATTTATAGATAGCTGTGTAGTGCTAATCATCGATTAGGTGTTCTATCATGAATGTGCTGAGAGTTTATATTAGATCCAGGATACTGGGATCTATGTCGTAGTTATCTTCAACAACGGGCAGCAAAGGACAAGTCATTTTCTTATGAGGTATGATGCAGTTCTTGATATGCTTTTCACTGATCTTCTGACTTGGTTCTAGCAGCTACGTGTGGAAACTTTTGTGAAAAGCTCATTATCTTTAACATTTGCAAAATATTAGGTTAAGCATGAGTCTGATGATTCTATCATTTGGCAATGCCTGGGATAGACTGATGATTCTATTCTCAATTGACTGGTATAAATCTTGTTGACTTCAGCCAGTTATCTTCAAGGAGAATAGAGCAAGAGGAATATCACCCCGTTGGCTGATGAATCATATGTTTTTTTTATCACAGAAAGCTCAGCGTAAGAACAGGGAAAGAAGAGTGTTAAATTTTGCTAAATTCTGGTAAATTCATGATAAATTCTAATATTTAATAATTTATGCACGTCAATCTTAAAAGACTTTCACAGTGACAGCATTGATATAAGCTTGAGCTCCAATGGGTTGAAAGGTGCCTTGTTTCATTTAGCACTTAAAATGGCATCACAATGCAGGCAGGTATTTCCCTGGTGCATGGTGAAAACTAACCTGACTGCAAGGTTATAATCCATTTCTTGATATCTTAACAATTTTTTAGCTGGAAGATTTCCAACTGGGACAACCATTGGCCTTTCATGTTGGCCAAACCGATGCATTTAAGTGCCAATACATTTAAGCGTGTATCATTTTTTTGATGTATCGCTACGTATTTTATGTATCGCATCACATTTCGTACAATACTAGCAACTATAACCCCATGGATTTTGTTCAAGGGGAATTTTGATGCCGGTACAATTTTTTAGACTTAATTGGGTGAAAATACAACACAAAAACTTATTTGGGGTAAAACACATATTTTCAAAAAATGACACTATTGTCATTTGGTATACAGCATATGGGTGGAAACCTTTTGTATTCTTTGTGTATATTTTGGCTATAATCAAGTAATGAGAGGTAAAATAAGAGTATTAATGATAAAAAACTTTCTTATTCGGCAATGGGATTCTATGGTAATGTGATTCGACTAGAATGCCAAAAATTATATGTGAATAAACATTGAATTTTTTTCCAAAAAATAAGAGGAATACGACAGTGAAAATTTGGCGGTTTTGGTGTCCAGTATCTATTCATCATTGCTGGCCACTTCTTCACTGGAAATTGTAGGTGAAATTCGAGTTTCATTTTTTGTCATTCATTCATTATTTAGTTTTTTTTTTCACAAAACTGTGCGATTTGCTTTTGGAAAAAAAACAAATTTGTAAAACCCTATTTTCGTGAGATGAGAGTAAAAAATTGTAGTTCTATAATTAATGAATGAGTAATTATTAAAGTTCAATTATATGTAGATGAAAAAAACACTTTGAAAACAAGATTTTTTTTTTTAAATAGTTACGTAACTGTGTTAATTAACTATTTGGAATTCAAAGTGCTCCATTTTGTTTTATTTGTTTCTGTGAGTGCCGGTTTTTGTATTGTGGTTAATATTGCGTAGATTTTATTTATTTTATTTTTTCAAATCTCTAATTTTTTTGTTTGTAAAACCAAAATATAATTATAAAACTATAATTTTAGCGATGAAACTAAATAACTCGAATTTTTTTTGTATTGAATGAATAATTCAAGAGTTGAAATTATTTGATTACAAATTATAAACTGTTTAAAATTTTTTTTTAATGGATGTAACTATGTTGAGTAATTATTTTGAGATTTTAAGTATTCCATTCTTATATTTGTTATTGGTTACTGTATTGAGTATATGTTGAATGTCTGTTACTTAATGGTTTTAACTGTGTTGTGTGTTGAGTATTTGTTAAGTCGAATTATATGTTAAATGTATATATTCATGTATGAAACTTAGTTATACCGTACAGTGATACATAACCATACTTGTATCTCTAAAACAGTTACTATGTGCAATTGAGTTACAATGCTTCTAAAAATGTAGATCAATCCCAATCTAAAGAATTAAACAGTTACCAATGTCTAGACTAATGGTTAGGTTAATATAGATATACTATATATTATTGTATGATACCCTAGCATAGTTGATGTATTAAATAGGTCATGGCAAAGATACAGTCTTTGAAAAGACGACCTGATATAAGGCGTACCAAAGAAATTTAACGTCAAGAGTCACAATCAACAAAGACAATTGTTGAGATAAAAGACAATCAAAGTATACATCAGTGGTGCAAGGTATAAGTCTCAGTATAGATCAAATATGCTTGTCATTATCAGGACAATTGAAGAACTTCATTTGAATAAGTATCAAAAGACAACGTTGAAAAAAACTTTGTTCTGGTTGCTTTTTGAATGTATCATTGACCAAACTATGGACAAAATATGGTACCGTAAAAGTGATAGCAGCATTATTGAAATATTATTATGTTTTAATTCTGATACATCAAGATTCACCATCGGAAGTGAAAACTTGAAGTTGCAGCCTAGTGATGTGACTCTGATATTTGGGATATAAGATGAGTGTGAAAAGATTGATTGTACAATATATGAAAAATTATTTACACTCTTTACTGAATGTTGGTTCAAAAAGGATCAAAGGTTGACAACAACATTGGTAAGAAACAAGCTGAAACAAGCATCCGATGGCTAGATTATTGTGTATGTATCTGTTGACAATACTTTTTTTTCCTAGTAACGAGAAATACAATGAGTTTGGGGTCTGTACCATATATTGAAAATTTTGATGCATCTAGAAATACAATTAGTCTGAAGCTATAACTGATACTCTAGTTCCATCCTTAAAGAAGAAGAAGAAAACGCCAAAGGCTATCAATAGATGTGTCCTCTTAATACCGGTTTGTGTTTTAATAAAAGCAATATATTAATTTGAGAATTGAAATTATATTGCTATAACCCAATATGCTATCATTATCGTAAACTTGTATGTTGCAGTACTGGTTGTGTGAACATACCTCCATGATAATTCTCAACACTGAAAGACCATTTCCTCGATTCCTAAAATGGAACTTATCAATTCTAAATAGGGCAATCAAGCAAAAATGTTTATCAAACATCATGGCAAAAGATGTAAGTCTCAATTCATATCTTATAGTTCCCTTAAGTTGTAACTGTTTTGAAAAGGTCCATATGTCATTGTTTTTTAATTAATTTATTTTATCCTTAGATTATAAAGCAAAGATTGAAGAGAACTAAGGAAGAAATGATGTTTATCTCATCAAAGAAGAATGTAAGAAAAAAAAAGCGAAAATAACAATGGAGGAGGAGTTAGATGATAATGAACAACTTGACACAGAAAAAATTGGTGTGGGCAAACCATCAAGTGGTGATTATAAATGGTCAAATGAAATGAGACAATTGGTTGATTTAGTTGAAGTGAAGGTTACTCAACCAACAGAAAGGCAATTAAGGGAACATGATGTTTGGAATGACAATGAAAAGGACAAAATTATAAGAGAGAGAGAGAGAGAGAGGGATGAAGTGTAAATGATTGTTTCTAAGTTGATGATAAAAGATAAATTCAACTAAGAAAAGATTTCCAAGTTGTCCAATAAGAATGAAGCGTTGAAAAGACGCATGCAAGACACTGTTGACATGGGGCATCACAAGGTATATACAAAAATAAGTATTATAATGTCTTGTTTTTTTTTTTTTTTTAATATTCATACCTTTCTTTGATCCCTGTTTTGTGTAACTATATTATACCTGATTGATATAACTATTTTTGTATATTTAGTTACCTATTTGGTGCATCTATTTGGTACTTATGTTTGTCTAACTATTTCAACACTGTTTTGTGTAACTGTTTTTTGTTTTAACATGTTAACTGTATGGGTCAACACTTTTGGTACTAGTTGGATGTAACTTTTTTTTGCATATGGTTAACTATGTGGTTCAATCCTTTTGATACGTATTTGATTGACTATTTGTTATTCTAGATGGTTTGTTTTTGGATAACTATTGTACTATCTACTATGTTGTAACTGTTTTTGTGTAACTTTCTGATGTAGCTATTTTTGGTAATTATTTACAGTATGAGTTAACCGGGATTTCATGATGATTTCATGCAACAAACTGCAGTGCAACGGAACATCCCATCTGATGCTAATGTTCACACATCACAAACGATGGTTTTCATGTTGCAAATAGTTGATAGAGACACAAATATCGTGCAACTTGACACATTGGTGCAAAAATCAAAAGAAGCACGACATAATCAGCACTAATATAAAAACAAAATAAGTATACACAATGAAACACTAATATCATTTTTTACACATACACACATACAGTATCAAAAAAAAAAAAAAGTACACTAATATCTATACGAAAAATAGTTACACCAATTAAAAACCAAAACAATTTTTTTTCCCTTCATCCCAACAACAAATAACATAAAACAAAATTGAAATTACGATTTTCTAATAAAAATGTCTAAATAAAAGAAGAAATATAATTATTAAAAACTTATCTTCAAGTCCATGATGTTGATCGATATTTGCAATTCTTTTTTTCGAAGAAATCCTCTATTGATTAAGAAAAATAGACTTTGGAAGCAAACGAAAAAAAAAACTAAAAATATACCTTAATCGGAGAAGTAAATCATCAAGTCGTACGTGGAACGAAATCGCAATAAAACCGGCCATTGAAAAAGACTTTTATTGCGGGGCGTTGGAGCTACTGGGCATGGGCGCCGCTGGGCAACGAGCACTAGGGAGCAGGCGCAGGTTGTTGGAGCTAGCGTGTTTCTGGTGCAGGGTGCTTGGACATTGGTCACCGGTGGAGTAGTAGAAAACTTTCAAAACTTTGAACGACCATAACTTTGCGCTCGATTATCCGTTTGAGGCAATTTTTTATTTGGGTATTTTTTCGAGATCTACCATAATCAAATGCCTATGGCGGTTTGGGCATCAAATTTTTTCAAAAAATGCTTATTTTTCACTGAATTTGAATTTTAACCATAAATTAGGGAAAAAAAATAGAATTTACACGTGTCTACTTTTCGTATTCCCCTCTACGTGAGGACTCAGCTCGCCTTGCTTTGGCGACAACCTTAGCGTGAGGATCTCTTGGTTCTGGTTAACCAATTGTTGTATGGTCTCCAACAATTGTTGGGGTTCAAGGATGGGGTTTGCTGGTGGTGGCAGACCTCGTTGTGGTGTGGCGGGTCATCTTCCGTTTGGTGGTTCATGGATCTGATTATGATTGCCAGTGAAGGTAGTCTTAAAGGTACGAAGATTGTAGGGTAAGAATCAAATCTGGGCTCGTCACTTTCCATTGATTTAGATAGATTAATCATGGAAGTATTGCGGGTATTTTGTTATTTTTTATTGAGTTTTTGGAGAAATAATATGATATTGGAATTGTGTACGAAGATTTGATCTTTGTGTTCATAATCAAATTGGTGCACTTTGATGCCCAATTGTGTGGTGAGACAATGAAGGGAAAGCGGAGGAACGAAAGAAAACTACAATTTTGTATGAATC